ATTAGAGGTGGGTCAGGGATCTTTCCTGGGAGGGGTGGGTTAAGAGGTTGGTCCCCCACCCAGGTGATATTTATTTAGAATATCAATTACTGCTGTTTATCCCTAGGAGAAGCATATGGATGTAGTACTTTCTCTTCTTTTAAATGCTGGCCTTCTGTGACTGTGTCTTCATTGTCCTCCATGTTGGCTCCTCCAGGGCAGGTCCTGTCAAACTGCCTGCAAGATAATTAACTTACCTATCTATAATAACAGGAGGGAAGTTCTGATGAAGTTCACGTGCTTATTTTGGGGACAGAACCCAGGGGGTTCATACTGAGCTTTATCCCCCAGCCCTGTTGATTTTATATATTGAGACAGGGTCTCACTAAATCACTGAATTTCCCAGGCTGGGCTAAAAGTGATGATCCTCCTGCATCAGCATTGTAGAGTACTTGGATTACAGGTGTGTGCCACCAACCACACCTGGCTTTTTTGGGGGCATTGAGGACATTGCTGGGGATGGAACCCATGGCTTCTGCTGAAGCTTTGCGCATGCTAAGAAATCGCTGTACTAGTAAGCTATACCACCAACCTAAGGCCTTACCTGGTGTCCGTTGAATCTCAAATGCCTTTACCTTAAAATAATCTTTATACTACTTTAAGAGTTCCAAATGAGTCTCCATAAAAAGATAGGAGCTAGGGCCTGGGATTTAGCTCAGTGTTTCCGCCACCTGCCTTGCAAGCGCAAAGACCAGAGTTTGATGCCTGGTACCAAAAAAAGACAGGAGCTATTGTATTGAATCAAGATGAGAATTGATAGGGCCGGGGATTTAGCTCAGTGGCACCACGCCTGCCTCAAAAGCTCAAAGTCCAGAGTTTGATCCCCGGTACCAAAAAAAAAAAAAGAATTGATAGTAGTGACTTGGACCAAGATGAGAATGAAGGATGCTATGACAGAGGTCATGTTATTGGGTAGCTTCTTTAGAAATGACTCACCAGCCGGGTGTGGAGACACATGTCTGTAATCCCAGAACCTGGGAGACTGAGGCAGTGGATCTGTGAGTTCATGGCCAGCCTGGGCTACATAGTGTGTTCAAGGCCAGCCTGAACTACAGAGTGAGACTTTGTCTCAGAAAAAAGAAAGGGCTTGCCAATCAAAAGTATTCCAGGTCCTTCTTGCCTCAAACAAAGAATTGGAGGAGACAAGCCAAAAATGGTGCCAGAAGTTTATTGAAAAGCATGGGGTGAATGGGTGTGGCAGAAACCAGCTCTGCAGAGAGAACTTGGGCCAAACAAGAGAAAAAGAAGGTAAAAGCAAAAATAAAAGGACACACTGGGTCTGAGAAACGTAGTGCAGGCTGTCTTGGGAACTCATGATAGCGGCTCCCCATGGCATCTGGTCTTTTATGGCATCCATATCTTGTGCGAGCTCACTAGAAGTTCTACATAGAGGGTCCTGGTGTTGCCCTGGGATCTTGTGATTGACAGATCCCACTCATTTCTGCAGCTTTGCCACTCCCCATATCCTATATCAGTCGGATCCTGGATACATTTTGAGGATAGTGGTGATGTTTGGGCACATTGCATGAGGATTTTGAAAAAAGGGAAGATAACCAGGATGACCCCAGGTTTTTAGCCCAAGCAGCAGAGAATAGAGTTGTCCTTTAGTGAGATAAGGGACTGACATAAAATACAGTAGGGTAGATTTGTTGTATGGATATTTACTGATTTCTTATTATGTGAAGGTGCAAGAGATAAAATGTTAAAGGTAGTCCTTCTCTCAAAATATTTATATTCCCAGGACAGTAGCCTAGTATATACAAGTAGGTATATTACTTTGCTAGGACTATATAATGAAATACCACAGATTGAGTGATTTAAACAATGACAGTTTATTGTCCCTCAGTTCTGGAATCTGAAAGTCTGAGATTGGGTGTCCACACAGTTAGTTCTTAGATTGTTGAGGGAGAATCTGTTCTATTCCTCCCCCGTCTTTGACATTCCTTAGCTTGTAGATTTCTATTTTATCTTCACAAGGCTTCTCCCTGTGTTGCAAATCCATGTCCAAATTTCTACTTTTTAGGACTCTAATCATATTGGATTTTATGTACACTCTATCACAGTATAACCCCATTTTAACTACAGTAATTATATCAGCAGTGAACCTGTTTCCAAATAAGGTCACAGTCTGAGGTACTGTGGATTAGGAATTCAATATATGAATTTTGAAGGGGAGTCAAATGATGTGGCATATGCCCATAATCCCAGAACCTGGGAGGCTGAGGCAGGAAGATTGACAGTAGGGCTGCATAGTCAAAGGCCAGCCTGAGGAACATAGCATGATTGTGTTTCAAAAATCCAAAAAAAGAGGGCCAGGGATTTAGCTCAGTGGCACTGTGCCTGCCTCGCAAGTGCAAGGTCCTGAGTTCATTCCCTCGAACTGGAAAAAAAAAAAAGAATTTTGGAGAAACACAATTCAACCCATAACAGACAGTAGGCAATTACTATGAATTTTTTTTTTTTTTTTTTTACTACGAATTTGTTAGGCAAAAAAATAGCTAAAGGGCCATAGGAGTGTTGACAAAATAAACCTGGAGCAGTTAGTGCCATTATTTTTTGGCTGCAAAATGCCTGATTTTCCATTTTCAGATATAGACTTCCATTTGGTCTTTTGGCCTCGGGCTGATTGGTCTATTTTCCCTTGCTTGTAAGTACACATAAAAATGTCTACCATGATATATTGAGTCTTTTCTATATCGAGTTTTACGATATGTGCCTTATATTCTGACATTTCATTCTTAACGTAGTGACCCTGTTCAGGTAGGTGGTATTATGCCCATTTTGCAGATAAGATATTGAGGCTTTTAAGAAGGTTAGCAGCTTGCTCCAAACCATACAAAACCCTATAAAGTAAAAAACACTTGTGTGGACAAGGTACCATCTGTAAAAGGAAAAGATTATTATTGGACTCTGAGACCAAAGTCCACCATTATTTACATCTGGGTCTACTAATTCTGGATTAGCTTATCCTAGTAATATGACTTGATAACCACTTGTCAGAGAAGGCCAAGGAGTTTATTAATCAAGCAGGTATATAAGAATAACTCAAATTACATCCACTCTTCTAGAATGCTTGTTAAGAGATTTTTTAACTAACCAGGTTACTTTTCTTTTTACTCTCTTAAAATTGAAAGTAAAATTCACATAGTATAACATTAACCATTTTAAAGTGCATAATCTAGGGCCGGGGATTTAGCTCAGTGGTTCCAGCACCTTCCTTGCAAGTGCAAGGTCCTGAGTTCGAGCCCAAGGTCCTGAGTTCGAGCCCCTGGTACCAAAAATAAAGTGTGTAATCTAGCTGGGTGTGGTGGTGCACACCTGTGATCCAAGCACTCTGGGAGGCTGAGGCTGGAGGATCACCATGAGTTGAAGGCCAGCCTGAACTACATAGCAAAATCCTGTCTCAAAAAACAAAAACAAGGCCAGGGATTTAGCTCAGTGGTGCCACAGCCTGCCTCCCAAATGCAAGGCCCTGAGTTCGATCCTTGGTACAAAAAAACACAAACATCAGGGCCAGGGATTTAGCTCAGTGGCACTAAGCCTGCCTTATAAGTGCAAGGTCCTGAGTTCAATCCCCAGTACTAAAACAAACAAACAAAAAAGTGTATAATTCATTGGCATTTAGTAATTCAGTATTGTGCTACCATTACATCTAACTCCAGAACATTTTCATCACCCTAGAGCGGTGTTGTCAACCTTTTAGAGCTTTCAGTGATAAGAAACAGCTAGCTGCAGCTGAGTGTCATAGGTTTGCCACCAGTGCCCTAGAGAAAAACCTTCATTCCCATAAGCAGTCACCCACTGTATTCCTCTCCCCAGGCCCTGGTCATCTTTGTATTCTGAATTAATCTATTTTGGATACTCTGTATAAATGCAATAATATAAATGGAATATGTGACCTTCTGTTTCTGGCTTCTTTCACTTAGAATGTTGTTTTTGAGGTTCACCCATGTTGTACCATGTATCATACTTCATTGCTTTATATGCCTGAATAATCTGTTGTATGAGAATGTCACATTCACTTATACCATTTTATCAAATAATGGATATTTGAGTTACTTCCACTTTTGGTGATTGTGTGGTGCTGCTCTGAATATTCATATATAAAATTTTGTTTGAACAATTGCTTCATTTCTTTTGAATATACGTACTTAGGAGTGGAATAGCTGGATTGTTTGGTAATTCTATGTTTAATTTTTTGAGGAATTTCCAGGTTACTCTTTTTTTGTGTGTGTGTGGTACTGGAGATTGAACTCAGAACCTTGCACTTGCCAGGCAGGTGCGGCACCCCTGAGGTACATCCTGGCCCTACAGGTTACTCTGAAATGGAGCTAAATGACCTTGCTATCAAAGTTTATAAGAAGGTTTCCGTGTAATGATGCTCTGTGCTGTAACACCAGCTTTGGTAACAAGGCTTAGTAAACAGTGCAGTTGGGTTTGTATTATTCTTGTGTTGTTTAACATAAAATACGCTGCCTGTGAATGTAATGTATATTGGACTTTTACTATGTTTCAGGAACTGTGTTGAATGCTCATTTAATATAGCAAGTCTGAGGGAGGAAAATTCTGTTATTGAGTCCATTTACAGATGCAAAAATTGGGTTAGCTAGGCATGGTGGCACACACCTGTAATCCCATCACTCAGAAGGCTGAGGTAGGAGGATTGCTGCAAGTACAAGGCCAGCCTGGGCTACATACTGAGTTCAAGGATAGCCTGCACTACATGGTATGACCATGTCTCCAAAAAAAAAAAAAAAGAAAGAAAGGAAGGAAGGAAGAAAATTGGGTTAGATTGTATAACCTGCTAAGATAAAATGGCAGAAATAATATTGACTCAGAGCCCATACCTTAACCACATAATTCTTTGATTTGAAATTGTCAAAGCCTGGTTTGCCTCATCTTCTGCTCTCTGATATCTTTGCAATAAAGGTGATCTCATGCAGCCCATGGTGTTCCTATAGGTTCCATGCCTCTGTGGCAGTGCATCGTGCTTGCTGTGTAGTTGCTGTCCAAACAGTAAGAATTCTACTGTGACTCGAATCATCTATGCTGCGATTCTCCTCCTGGGCACAGCTGTGTCCTATATCATGCGGATAAAAAGTATAGAAACTGAGCTGAAGAAAGTAAGTAGAAGTAACAGCGCCTGTGCTATACTGGTTATTTTTATTAGATTTTGCAATATTTGGTTTGTAATTGTTTCTAACAGCCCGGAGAAAACAGATTTTTTTCTGTGGTTTGGATTGGCCTTGACCAAACATGTAGTTTAGGCTGCCCTCAAACTCAGGATCCTCCTGCCTCAGCTTCCCTAATGCTGGGATTACAGATGTGTGCCACCATGCCCAGGAAGAAAAAAAGAATTTAAAAGGAATCTCAGAACTGGATTCTGTGATGCATGCCTGTACTCACAGCTGCTCAAGAGGCTGAGGCAAGAGGATCACAAATTCAAGTAATTCTGGGCAATTTGACAAGACTTTGTCTCAAAATAAAAATTTTAAAAGGTCTGGGGTTGTAGTTTCATGCTGTCTGGGTTCGGTTTCAAGTATTAGGAGTTGGGGTGGGGAGTGATCCCAAGACATTTTCTTTCCTTATAGGTTTAAACTTTAAGCTATACTTCACCTGTGAAGTCCTTCACCTGTGGACAGAAAGAGGTCTGTTGTAGCTAGAAAGTCTCATAGGGGAATTTAAGACAAGTTAATTAGTATGAAAGTTAAAGACACTTCATTTTTTTTTTTTTTTCTTTTTTCTTTTGGTACTGGGAATCAAACTCGGGTCCTTGTGCTTGCAAAGCAGGAGGTGAAACCACTGAGCTAAATCCCCCACCCAAAGACACTTAATTTTTGAATGCAAGCTGTTTATACTATTTGGTAACAAGATTATAGTCAATTAGAAATCAAGAGAAAAGTCCTTGGAGTTGCTGAAGTGGTCAGTTTTATAAATTCAGGTCTTCCTACAGTGAGATTGAATCTCTGATTAATGTGGATATTCCCATGGGATTGAAATTGTTTCTTTTCCCCTAGATTCCTGGATTCTGTGAAGGGGGATTTAAAATCGAGGTGGCTGATTTAAAGGTGGATAAAGATTGTGATATGCTGGTTGGTTATAAAGCCATATATCGGATCAACTTTGCATTGGCCATCTTTTTCTTTGCTTTCTTTTTACTCATGTTAAAAGTAAAAACAAGTAAAGATCCCAGAGCATCAATACACAATGGGTATGTAAGATTGTTTATTAATTGGTTATATTATAGTGTGACTTCTCCAGCAGTTAATTTTTTAAAAAATCTGTTTTTATCCATACATGTTTGTAGTATATAATGATTACATTCATCATGGGGTGTTGGTTTTTATACATAATACATCTTAATTCTTTTTATGTCCCCTTCCCCTCAGCAGTTAATGTTGCCGTTCTGTTGGAAGCAGTGAAATATGTGTGTCAGTGGCCCAGATGTATATCTGATCTATTATGTATGTGTAATTTTCACCATGCTGGTTCTCTGAGTTTCCCAAACTTAACCCATGCCGCTGTAGCAGGTTTGCTGATTCCCATTGCAGAAAAAGAATTTTTAGGACATGCTAGAAAGAGACATGAGTAGGGCCTGCTAGACAAAGACAGAGAGTACAGCACGTACTGAGCAAAATATTCATTATAGAGCGAAAGCAGAAAGCTGCCTGTATTTTAAAGTGAAAGCAAACAGCCTGCTGGTTGTTCAACCTGGGAGGGGGCCCAAATCAGTTGCCAAAGGGACTCCCAGTTTAGTGCTTTTGTACTAAAAAAATTACTACCTTGCTAACATTATCAGTATAAACACAACAAAAACATTTTTTTAGAAGGATATGGATATCTTGCTCCTAGGCAAGAAATCCATCAGTCTAATGAGGCCTTTTTTTTTGTTGAGCTCCAGGTCCCTGGCCTTGGTCATTGATGTGTCCTTCACTGAATCTTTCTGACTCCCCCTTTGGCTTTGCCTTTTCCTGGCTGCCTGCAGTACCCTTTGCCAGAACTCTGCTCACCTTCAATACATACACAAACTGATTGTTGAGATTTCTGTTGAGAGCCTCTTCTTAGGAAATACTACACATTTAGTAGTATTTCAGTTAGGAAATTGGAATCCAAGCCCAGCCATGCCTGCAGAGGCCTCATGGTTCATTTTCTCCAGGTCTCTTTCTTTTCTTTTCTTTCTTTTTTTTTTTTTTGGTACCGTGGATTGAACTCGGGACCTTTGGTTTCGAGGAAGGCACTGGAACCACTGAGCTAAATCCCCGGCCCTCCAGGTCTCTTTATCTCCCTACTGTTGACTTTGGGGCTGTCCTTATCTCAGGGCCAGGCCCCTATACCTTATTTTCTTTTTTTTTTATACCTTACTTTCTTAATTGAATCAATTTTTATGACCTTCAGCTGTGTCCTGGAAGTTGGAAGTTACAGTCTTCTTACGAAGTACAGTTGTTATGATTTCCTTATGTCCTTTCTACTTATCTTGAGTGTCATTCTCTTTGTTTTTTTTGTTTTGTTTTGTTTTTGAGACAGGATCTCGCTGCATAATTCAGGCTGGTCTTGAATTCACTGTGTAGCCCAAGCTGGCCTTGAATTCATGGGGATCCTGCTGCCTCAGCCCCTCTAAGTGCTAGGACTACAGGCATGCACCTCCATGCTAGTGTCATTTTCTTTTTTTTTCTTTCTTTGAAATAGGGTCTTGCTATAGTTTAGGCTGGTCCTGGATAGCCCAGGCTAGCCTTCTCAGCCGCCCATGTGCTGGGACTACAGACATGTATCACCACACTTGGCTCAGTGTCATTTTCAGTTGGAGCCTTGTAACAGGGCAGTGGTGGTGAACTTATGGCACACATGCTGCAGCAGGCTGTTTGTATCATTTGAAGCTCTAAAAGGTTCGCCACCATTGATATAGGGAATAGGTAATCCTTTTTTTTTTTTAATACTTTTGCTCAGGTATCTAGATTTTTATTGAGCACCTTTCAAACACTATGCAAGGCACTGAAGGGAGTTTTGTAAACTTTGTATGTATTATAATCATCCTTAATAGATACAGTAAAGAAGAGATAAATAACATTGGCTAAGAGCTCATCCAGTGAGGTTGAAGCTTGAACTTTTCAGCTCCAGAGCTTGATAGCATTTTATTCTGCCATACCAAGCAGTTATTAAATAAATGGTGCTGGGAAAATTGGATATTCACACTCAGAAGATTGAGTCAGTCCCATATATCTCATTATGCACTATATAAAATAAAAATGGATCGAGGATCTAAATGTTAAAACAGAAACACAATCTGCCAGAAGATAATATAGGTAAAACTCTTGAAGACATAGGTGTAGACAAGGACTTTCTGAACAGAAAACCCCAAGGGCACAAGAATTAATATTGAGAATTAACAAATGGGATCATATCAAATTAAAAAGCTTCTGCACAGCAAAGGAAGCAACCAATAGAGCAAAGAGACAATCTACAGAATGGTAGAAAATTTTTGCCAGCTATTCCTTGGACAGAGCAGTAATATCAAGAACGTATAAAGAACTCAAAAAAATTAGACTTGCTAGACTAAAAGAGTCAAAAAATGGACAACTGAAATGAATAGATACTTCTCTGAAGTACAAATAGCCAATAAATACATGAAGAAAGGCCCAATATTGCTGGCCATTAGAGAAATGCAAATTTTAAAACTACATTGAGATTCCATTTTGGTCCAGAAAGAATGGCTCTCATCAAGAAATCAATGATAACATGCTGGCACGGCTGCAGGGGGGAACAAGGAAAGCCTGTATATTGTTGGTGGGAACGTAAGATAGTACAACCACTGTGGAAATCAGTGTGGAGAATCCTCAAAAAAACTAAAAATAGAAATTCATTTGACCCAGCTATTCCCTTTCTAGGTATCTTCCTGAAAGAGTCAGAGACATCCTATTGCAGGGACACATGCATACTCATGTTTATAGCAGCACAATTTATAATAGCTAAATTTGGGAAACAGCCTATATGCCTATCAACAGATGAGTGAATAAAGAAAATGTATTTATACAGAATGGAGTACTATGCCATAAAGAAAGATAAATTTAAGTCGCTTGTAGGAAAATGGATTCAACTTGAGACCATAATGTTGAGTGAAATAAGTCAGTCAGACAAGCTTAGATATTGCATGGTTTTTCTTATATGAGAAACTCATATATATATATATATATATATAGATAGATAGATAGATAGATAGATAAAGAGCAAAATGGAAGATAAAGAGGAAGTAGGGAGATCTTTTTCAAATAGATAGGGGAACAAGAGGTGGAGGGAGGAAGAGGGAAGGAAGGAAGGGAGGGAAAGGGATAGGAAAAAAATGATGAAAATAGAACTTTCTTTTTTTTTTTTGGCAGTATTGGGGATCGAACTCAGGCCCTGACGCTTGTGAGGCAGGCGCGGTTCCACTGAGTTTATCCCCGGCCTGAAAATAGAACTTTTGCAAATGGGAAGGGAACAACAGTTTTAAGGAGCAGGGAGGGAGAGGTAGGGTAGGGGCTGAAATTTTTTTAAAAAAAGATGTATTACCTGCATGTACCAACTCCCTATGGTAATCATAATCAGTATGTATCACATGTACTAATACATATAAAAAACAAAGCAGTTATTAAAGACTATGGACTGAAAGATTGGTTCTGCTTTGCTAGTATTCATCTTGAGATTGTAGACAATGATTTATGTCCTGTATAAGTGGAGGATTTGGTGATAATTTTTCTCACAAACCTAATAGTTAATAGCTCTCTATATAGCTAACACTGTTAGAACTTGTAATTCTAGAAAAATCCTTACCCTCAAGTGCTGAAAGTAGGGAGATTCTTAAGTTTACTTATGACTTTCATTTTGAATGTAAATGACTTATTTTCTGTGCTAACATTGCCCGTTGTATGAAATATTGAATGAAATATTCTCAAGTCAAATGAAGAAATAAGCCTAAACAGGTTGGAATTATTTTTATCAGTACATCTTTGCTTTACATAATGATTCATCATGGAGAGTTGATACATTTTTTTTTTTTTTTTGGTCCGGGGATCGAACTCAGGACCTTGCGCTTGCAAGGCAGGCACCGGAACCACTGAGCTAAATCCCTGGCCCGAGTTGATACATGTATATAACACATCTTAATTGTTTTTACATCCCCCCTCCCCTCCTCTCCCTCTGGAATTGTTATTAAGGCCTTATTTTTGCATGTAGAAATTCATTTTTCTCAGTGTAAGGATGAAAATTATCATTTCATAAATGCATTTTTATATTTTAACAGGTTTTGGTTCTTCAAAATTGCTGCCCTTATTGGTATCATGGTTGGATCTTTCTACATCCCTGAGGGCTATTTCACTTCAGGTATGGCTCACTACTGAGGGATTAATTATAAGGTGTACAAATTCTACAGGTGGTTAACTTAGATGTACATTTCCATTAGTGATTTTGCAAACTGGCTATTAAATGGGTTGGTCTCCAGTTATATGACTTGGTACTAATATGAAGACATTGATTTAAGGACAGGATACATTCTTCTCATTTCTGAGCTTTTCTAGAATTGCATGTTAATCTTTTCCTAATATTTTAATAGTTTGTCATCTGGGTTGACAGTTAATCAGAGAGCTTGTCAGTATGAGGACTTATAACTCCTGTGTGTTCCATTATCTCTGTTTTAGCTTGCTTGATGGCCTGCCTGCCTGCTTTCCTTCCTTTTTTCCTTTTTCTTTCCTTCCCTTCCTTCCCTCCCTCCTTCCCTCCCCCCACCTCTCTTTCTTTCTTTCTTTCTTTTTGGTACTGGGGAATTGAACTCAGGACCTTGTGCTTGCGAGGCAGGCGCCGGAACCACTGAGCTAAATCCCTGGCCCACTTTCTTTCTTTTTTCCTGTACCGGGGATTAAACTCAGGACCTTGCATTTGCAAGGCAGGTGAGGTGCCACTGAGCTAAATCCCTAGCCTGCTTTCTTAACATGGCATTGAGTGACAGCTGAGAATTCCACTGTGATCATCCCCTTCCCCCAAAAAGTAAAGGAAGAGCCTTACAGAACTACCTGGAATGTCAGGTCATAGGCTGCCTTTGGACCAAGCTAAAAGAAGTTTGTTTTTTTTTAAAGCTAAAACAAGTTTTAAAAGGTCTGAAATCCAATGGAACCCTTCTCAGAAAATGCCTTTGTGACAAAAAAAGAAAATGCCTTTGTGTTTCAAATTGGCATAGTCTTGTTTTACTGCCGAATAGAAATATGCTTCAAATGTTAAGACAATATTCTGCAGTGTTATTCCTGTGGTTAAGAATTTCTGTCTTCTTTGTTTGTAGTCTGGTTTGTTGTTGGCCTGATAGGGGCCGCTTTCTTCATCCTTATCCAGCTGGTACTCTTGGTAGACTTGGCTCACTCTTGGAATGAAGCATGGGTGAATAATATGGAAGAAGGAAACCCCAGAGTCTGGTATGCTGGTAGGTATCTAAACCAGTTGTGGGAGCCATAGTGCTGCAGTAAGCAGGGTGTACAGTAAAATCGCCAATGATTTAAATGTAATGTATAAATTCAGTGTAGAGCTGCCTTTTTAAAAACTGTAATTTTCCAGTTGAGTCAGTTGTGAATTATATGCATTGCTGAAAGGGAGTAGCACAGATATTTTAAATCATTAAATTCCCCCAACTAATATATTTTAAGATTTGTAATGTAGCTACCTTGTATTTAGTGGTGTAATTCTGGTTTTGACAACCTTATTTCCATGGACAGGGAACTCGGATGAGTTCTAAATGTGGGTTACCTGCCCACATACTTCAGGCAGATTTGGGTGACAGCCCTTTACTGCTGTATTCAGAGTGTGATCTTAGAACCTCTTTTAAAAGTGTTCTGGTGGGAAAAGGACACTTAAAATTTCTAAGTTTAGAATAGTACTTACAGCTTATTTAATGGTGGGAAAGAACTATATAGTCTTCTATTTACTAGGGTTAAAGACCCAGCCATACTTCATTTTAAATATAACAGTTAAAGTTGGGCACAGTAGTGCATCCTATATTTCTAGCACTTGGGAGGCTGAGACAGGAGGCTCACTGAGTTCAGGGCCAGCCTGGAATACATAATGAGACCCTGTCTCAAAAAAACAAAAAATAGTAAATTAAAAAGTTGAGATTTCCTACTCTTTCCCTCCTCCCCTATTATAAATAGTATTTCAGGAGCCTGAAAAGCAGAAAATCATAAAAGGAATCAAATTTTTTAGGCTGAGGGTATAGATCACAGGTAGAGTTGTTGTGCAAGGCCCTGAGCATCAAAAACCAAATTCTCCCATAATCTTAATATTTAATAATTATTACTTAATGTTAACATATTAGTCTGTTTTCTTCCTGTCTTTTTCCTATATGTACCTATGTGTCTTTGAGTATAAAAAAAGATCAAATCATATATAATATGGTTGGTTTTAAAAAATATATATATATTATGCATTTAAATAGTTTGTAGTTGGCTGTTTTGTTTTTGCAGTGCTGGGGATTGAACTCAGGGCTCCACATATACTAGGCAAGTACTGTACCACTGAGCCCAGCCCTGTTTGGTTGTGCTATGGTTCCTTTCCCCCCATCCCCCATACCGGGGATCGAACTCAGGACCTTATGCTTACAAGGCAGGCATGGTGCTACTGAATTAAATCCCAGGCCCCTGTTTGGCTATTTTTCAACTTAGAAGTAGCTTATAAATATATTTTGGCTTGTAGTATAGCAATAAATACCTAGAATGTTTGAGCACATTTCTGATTATTTCCTTAGGCTGAATTCTTTTTTTTTTTGGCACCGGGGATCAGAACTTGGGACCTTGGCTTGCAAGGCAGGCACCTGAACCACTGAGCTAAATCCCCGGCCCCAAGGCTAAATTCTTATAAGTAGAGGGTCAGAGGGTATGAATATTTTAAATGCTTTTTGTGCAAGAATCAAATTGCTCGGTTTTTTTTTTCCTTCAGTACTGGAGACAGAACCTAGGGCCTTCACATTGAGCTACATCCCCAGCCCTTTTTTATTTTATTTTGAGACAAGTTCTCAGTAAGTCATTAAGTTGCCTAGGCTGGCTTGAACTTACAATCCCCTGTCTCACCTTGCCAGAGTGCTGGGAGTACAGGTGTGCACCACTGTGCGCAGGTTGGCTTTGTGTGTGTGTGTTTTGAGTGTTTGAGATAGGAACTTGCCAGGTCATCCAGGCTGGCCTCGAAATGGTGATCTTCCTGCCTCAGCCTCTGCTGGGATTATGGGTGTACACTATACCCAGCTTTGGGCTTAGCCTTAAACAAACAAACAAACAAAAGGAAAACAATACTATTTTTACTGTAAACACAAATGATAGAAATTTGTAAAGAATGGGTCTGGGGACATAGTTCACAGGTAGAGAGCACTTCATATGCCCTGGGTTTGATTCCCAGCACTGTGAAAGAAAGATTTATCAGAAACAAAACATGGAATTCTCTACCTCCCTGCAACCCATTTTCTTTTCTAGACATAGCCACTGTTACCAGACCTTTGGATATTTATGCATATACATATTTTCGCATTTAAATGTAATTGATTTTTTTTTTTTGGAACAGGACCTTGTGTTTGCCAGGCATATGCGGCAGGAAAGCTACATCCCTGGCCCTTGCATTTAAATGTAAACAGAATCAAGGCTGGGGATTTAGCTCAGTGGTGCCTCTGCCTGTTTCCCAAGCACAAGGTCCTGAGTTTGATCCCCGGTACCAAAAAAATTAAAAATAAATAAATGTTAACAGAATCACACTATGTATTATTTTATGATTTGTTCTTTTCACTGTATGGTGAATATTTGTCCATACCAATGAATATAGGTATGGTGTATTCATTGAACAGCTACATGGGATTCCATATAATTCCATTGGTATTTCACAACACTGTATACCATAGTTTACTTAACCTTTACCCTGTCCTTCCCAGGTCACTTAAATTGTTTGAAGTGCTATTCCAGTTTTTGTCATGCATTTCAGCTGGGAATCTCTAAAACCCTTTACTTCTTTTGTTTAGTATTGAGAATTGAATCTAGGGCCTTCACACTGAGCTGCATCCCCAGTTTTTTTGTTTGTTTTTTTTGAGAAATCTTGTATGTTCCCAGAAAAAGCATTAAACATGTAAAATCCATTGAGATAAATACTGTAGAAAGTAGTTTTCTCACATAAGTTTGTGCTTTGAAATGATCACAGGCTTACTTAGTGTTCTGTATGTTTCTTTTTTGCTCAGCAAACTGTTGATTATCCTTGTGAATGGAAAAGAACATTTCTGCAGACATTTGAAAATAACAAATAAGCAACTTTCCCAGCTCTGGGACATAGTTTAGGTGGCCAGTGGCTGCAAAGGAAAAGCTCTTTTAAAAGATAGCTGTTTTGTTTCTTCCTAACATCATCTTCGGCGTAGCTTGCTGTGAACCGTGTCATCTGGAGGGCCCAGGAATCATCTAGGTTGCTGAGAAAAGTTTATGGTATACATTATTTAGCACATAGTTAGCAGGTGACTCCAGCTGGAATGGTCAAACACCTGGTCATTCAATTCATGAAACCAAATGAAGTAACCCAGGAAGTAAATTCACTTGCTTGGTGCGTTTTAGAATATGACATTAAGCCAACTTAACACAACCTGAAAATTTGTTTTGGTTTTGGTTTTGGTTTTCAGTCAGGGTCTTGCTATGTAGTTCAGGCTGGCCTTGAACTCGAGGTGATCCTCTTGCCTCAGCCTCCTGAGTGTTAGGATTACACGCATGCATCACCACACCCAGCCTACAACTTGAAATTTTAACTTTGAAATTTACGGAATTTTGCTGTAAATTATTGACTACCATAAGAGTGAATTAATGCCTCTTAATTTTTATACAGAATAAAAGAAAATTGGTCTTGTAGAAATTCATTAGAATTGTGGACATTCATAGTGGTTTCCCTTTTTCTAGCTTTACTCTCCGTCACAAGCTTGTTTTATATCTTGTCAATCGTCTCTGCTGGGCTGCTCTACACACACTACACCAAGCCAGATGGCTGCACAGAAAACAAGGTCTTCATCAGCATTAACCTGGTCCTTTGCACTGTGGTTTCTGTTATCTCAGTCCACCCAAAAGTTCAGGTATGGTTATTTTCCGCCATTTCCTCTGTGAGGAGGTTTTAAGTAATGCTGGCTCAAACCTGTGTAGCCTTTTAGAGAGTTTATGTTTATGTTTACCCACTTAAATATTTTTCCATTTTTATACTCTTAATAGTTAGCAACTTAATAAACATTGTTGAGCGCCAGTATCATAACTAATTTCACTATCATTAAAGAAAGCTAGGTAACTTGGAAATAATGTAGTTCTTGTAGAAATGTTTAAATCATGGGAATGATTCTTACAAGTAATTAGCCAAGATTTTAAAAATGAAGAAAATGGCTGATTTTAATATTTAAAAGCAAAACTCTCTTACGTTTCATCTTATAAGTACTGTATAGGGCTATAGTATAACTGAGTTGAGAATGTAGGCCTGGGTTTGATCACCAGCATCAATAAATACCAGACTGAAAAATTCCTAGAGTTTTAGATGTAATGTCTAGGTACCATCTCACCTTTTAAAAGTGAGAAAACTCGATCTCTGGTACCAAAAAAAAAAAAGTGAGAAAACTCAAAGAAGTGATGGGTCACCAAATAGATAGTGGTAGGGCGGAGTTTAGGCTCTTTCCATTTTATCACGTGACTAGAGAATCAGTGGCCCTTTGTGATACATAGGCAGTTTTAGGATTGTGAAATGCCTTAAGCAATAGTAGATGCTTAGTTTTTGCAAGCTAGCTCATACTGAAAGGTTACTTGTCATCTTTTCAGCTATTAAGCAGGTTCTTCATTACTAACAAATCAGTGAATCCCAGGGAATTACACTGGCTTTTAGAAAGTCAGCCCTTGGGATTCCTATGGTATTGTTTCCTTTTGACTCCATAGGAACACCAGCCTCGTTCTGGCCTCCTGCAGTCCTCTGTCATCACTCTGTACACCCTGTACCTCACGTGGTCAGCCATGACCAATGAACCCGGTAAGAGAATGTCAATAACTCACTCATTTGATAAAAATAGAGAAGTATTTCTTTGGTGGGTCCAAAAACTAGAACTAGAATAAATGTGAAATGAATAGAAACTACACATAAATATACAATGTTTACTGAAGGTTTGTAGATACTTTGTTTTATTCCTCATATCTATTAACTACTCATAGCTGGCAGTCTGAAGGACTATGGTCCTTTAGAGTCTAGATTTTATCTAGCCAGGACTGAGTCATACTGGTCAAGAGCTCTGGACACAGGTGACCTTGTTTTGGCCTTTTGTAGAGTTCTAATTGAGTTTTACTTAGGTGTCGTAGGTTATAACAAATAGCTGGAGAAAGTCTCCTTTTAGAGCTGTTACAGGATTATTTCTCAATAGGATATCCTGTTAACTCTTTTTAAGATATACAAGTATTGCAGACCCCCACCCAGGGATAATTTAATTTTTATTAAGTAACTATATTTAAAGAAAACCAGGGATAAGTGCCTGTATAAAACTTTGGCACTATAGAACTAAAAAGATTTGTCCTTTAAACCAGTGATGGCAAACCTTTTAGAGCTTTCAATGATACAAATAGCCCACTGCAGCATGCATGCTGTAAGTTTACCACCACTGCTTTAAACCATAAAACCAATAATACCACAATGGACATTTGTGAAATTTGACAGATAATTTTGTTTCTTTTTTGTTCCTAAAACCAAATCACTGATTGAGACACAAACATGTTACCAACTGCTGAGTTTCAGGGTTTTTTCAGCATAGCACATACGTCTGGATGGAATGGTGTGTAGGCAGCCTCAGATCCTCCTTGCTGTAGATGAGCTTACTAAGGCTGCACACATTCCTCTTTTCAGACCGGTCCTGCAACCCCACCCTCTTGAGCATCATTTCACACATAGCTGCACCAACTGTGGCTCCTGCAAACACGACTGCTGTGGTCCCCACCTCGGCTCTGCCGTCAGAGAACGGGTACTCTCTGGACACAGAGAATGCTTTGGGAGTGTTTGTCTTTGTTATCTGCCTTTTGTATTCTAGGTAAGTTATAAGGATCTTAGTATAATAATCTTGTCAAAGTTCATAGTGGAGTCAAGGGAAGCTATTTTGCTTTCAGGACCAGTGTGAGGAATTAAAAAAACAACTGAAATGTCTTTAATGAAAAGTCCTTTACTCATCTCATTTACTCAGTTTGGTATATTTCCTTACAGTTCAGAAAAATCATCTCATCAGATTAATTCCTTCCAGTTATACAGAGATGCCTTCTTTTTATAGGAGGATAAAATCCTCACTTGACCCTACATCTGCTAGAATAGTGGCTCTCAAAATCAAGTGGGTTATCTCTTTAGAGAAAAAATCTTGGAGTTAGAGGTGCAGGTCAATGGTAGGTAAAGAGCTTCCCTGGCATGCTCAAGGCCTTGTGTTTGATCTCTAGCCGTGCAAAAATTTTAAAAATTCTTTGTTTTCTGACTGTAATACATAATTCAACTGTAGAATTATTATCATCATTATTATTATTTTAAAGTTTCCAGGAAAAAAGAGGGCCGGGGATGTAGCTTAGTGGCACTGCACCTGCCTTCCTGGCAAGCACAAGGTCCTGAGTTTGACTGCGGGTACTGGGAAAAAAAAGTTTCCAATTAACATGTTACCCATTAACACCCATCCTCCCACCCATTTTTACTGAGGCTTTTTGTACAATGGCAGATTTCAATTTTTTTTTTCAAAAAAAATTTTTTTTTTGGTAGCAGGGACCAAACTCGGGACCTTGTGCTTGTGAGGCAGGCACTGGAACCACTGAGCTAAATCCCTGGCCGTGCTTTAATTATTATTTACATTTTGTCTTTTGAGACAAGTCTCACTATGTAGTTCAGGCTGGCCTTGAACTCACTACATAGCCTACGCTGGCCTTAAACTCATAGGGATCCTCCTGCCTCAGCCTCCAGAGTGCTGGGCTTACTGGTGTGTACCACCACACCCAGGTCTGCTTTAATAATTAAAAAATATGAAATAATCAAAATAGGCAAGGATAATTTTATATAAGTTTATAAAATAAGAGAAAATATGGATAAAATAGGAGATGAAGGTATCCTCCCTCCAAATCTACTTGTCCCATGTGAGTAACATTTTGGTACATAATATTTTAGATTGCTTTCCTTTGTTAATTCTCTATCTCTGTGGATATAATTTTGTATGTAATTGTATGTGCATCATTTTATATCATTTGATGTATAATTTTAAAATTAGGATCATGCAATATATACATTTCTGAAATACAAATTTGTGGATGGCTTTCCACATTATGTGTATAGATTAACTTAGTTTTTAAAAAAGATTGCTTAGGCTAGGTGCAGGGATACCTGCCTGTAATCCCAGCTACTCTGAGGCTGAATCAGGAGAAGCTCAAGTTTGAGGCTAATCAGGGCAATTTTGCAAGACCCAGTTTCAAAACAGAAAGAGCTAGGGAAGGACCTAGGCATGGTGGCACACATCTGTAATGCCAGGTCTCAGGAGGCTCAGGCAGGAGGATCACCAGCTCAAGGCCAGCATGGGCTACATAGTGAGAGCCTCAAAAACAAATGAAAACATAAAGTGAAGGGTGCTCCTGGGGAAGTAGCTCAGTGGTAGAGCACTTACTTACCATGTCTGAGGCCCTGTGTCTCAAAAAAAAAAAAAAAAAAGATCCTTAGAACGGGAATTGGCGAACTACAGCCCTCGGGTTGGCTTCCTATTTTGTAAATAAAGTTTTCATAGCTCAGAAGTTTACTCATTTGTTTCTCTGTTGTCTATGACTATTTTGCTTTTGGCCTAACAATTTTTATTGAGATAGAATTCATATACCATAAAATCCACCCTCCTCAAATACACAGTTCAGTAGTTTTTTAGTATTCACAGGGTTGTACAACCATTATGACAATTTTAAAAGATTTTTGAGCTGGAAGTGTAGTTCAGTAGAACATCGCATGCCTAGCTCACATGAGGCCCTGGGTTTGATCCCCAGCCACTCACAGAAAAAATTCTGTTCTTCTGAAGTGTGCCCACTAGCACTCACTGCATGTTCTTCATCTTTCCTGCCTCTGGCAACCACTAATGTACTTTATGTGTCTGTAGATTTCCCCCCTGGACCATTTCATAAATAGACTTAAGGGTACTTTGGGAGAAGTGCATCATTATACTTACATAAACTGAGATGGCCCCTGTAAGCTTAGGGGGCCATGTTCATGTGTGTGTCCTGTGCTCAAGTGAGATGTTGTATGTGGTATATGACTGTATGTGGAATCATAAAATCCATGGCCTTTTTTAATTGTCTTTTTTCACTGAATATTTTTGAGGTTCATTCATGTTACAGTACATATCAATATGCCTTTCTGTTTTTGGAAATACTGTTTTTCATTTTGTGGATATACCGAATTTTGTTTATATATCAGTTGATGGATGTTTGGGTTGTTCCACTGTGGGGCTATTATGAAAAATGCAGCTATTAATATTTGTGTGCAAGTTGTTTGTGTGGTTGTATTGAGAGGATAGGGAATGGTGATTGAACCCAGGACTTTTACAGTAAGCTACATGCTCAGCCCTTTTTTTATTTTTTGTTTGACACAGGGTCTAGCTAAGTTTAAATAACCCAGACTGGGCTCAAACTAGTGATCCTCCTGCCTCAGCCTCTCAGAGTGCTGGGATTACAGACGTGTGCCAACACACTTGAAGTGCCTGTTTGTTTTTAGTTCTGTTCAATATATAGCTAGTGCTGGAGTTTGTGAGTTATATGGTTAGTGCTTAACTTTTTTTTTTGGTACCGGGGATCGAACTCGGGTCCTTGGGCTTGCAAGGCAGGTGGTGGAACCACTGAGCTAAATCCCTGGCCCAGTGCTTAACTTTTTGAGGAACTGCCAGAATGTTTCTGGAATGGCTGCATTTTTATTCTAATCCCTCTAGCAGTGCATGAATTCTTTAGTTTTACCATCTCCTAATCATTACAATGTCTTTTTTATTGTAATCAAACTCTAGAGGGTGTGATACATAGCATTTCATTATAGTTTTGACTTACATTTCCCTAATGACTAATGGGATGGGCATCTTTTCATGTAATTATTGGTCATTTGTGTTATTTTCCATAAAGAAATGTCTATTTAAATTTCTGTTTTTAAATTGGGTTGTCTGTGCCAGGCATGGTGGCACACACCTGTAAGCCCACCACTCAGGAGGCTGAGGCAGGAGGATTGCTGCAAGTTCAAGGCCAGCCTGGGCTGCATAGTGACTTCAAGCCCAGCCTGAACTACATAGTGACCTTGTCTCAAGGAAAAAAAAAAATGGATTGTATTTTTATTATTTCTAAATGTGGTTTGAGGTGGGCGGTCCAACTTTCTTCTTCCTGTGAATAGTCAGTTGTTCTGCTCTATTTGCTGAAAAAAACTGTTCTTTCCCCAATTAAATTGTTCTGGCATCCTTGTCAAAAATCAGTTGATTCATAAATTTTAAAAAGTTTATTTTATTATGGTACTGGGGGTTGAACTCAGGGCCTTCACACTGAGCTATCTCACTTAGGTCTTTATTTGCTTTTGGTGGTTTATAGTTATTAGTGTATGGATCTTAAACTTTTTTATGGTATTGTAAATGCAGTTGTCTTAACTTTTGAGTTTATTTCTACTATATAGAAATACAGTTGCTTTTTGTGTGTGTGACAGGGTCTCACTGAGTAGTTCGGGTGGGCCTTGAACTCACTACGTACCCCAGACTGGCTGATTGAACTTGTGGCGATCTTGCCTCAGCCTCCCAGTGATTACAAGCATGCTCCACCACAACAGGCTTGCCTTTTGTTTTGTATAGTGATGTTGTATTCTGCAGTCTTGGTAAACTTAATTTATTGGTTCTAATAGTTTATGTGTGTATATTCCATAGCATTTTCTGTGTACATGCTCAGTCATCTGCTAATAGAAATAGTTTTACTTCTTTGGGATCCTTGTCCTTTTCCTGATCTTAGGGGGAAGGGTTTTAGTCTTTCACTGTTAAGTATGATGTTAACTCACAATTTCACCTGTGTACTTTGTCAGTTGGAGAAAGTTCTGTATTCCTACTTCAAGTATTTTTACTTTGAAAGGGTATTGATTTTATCAAATGCTTTTTCTTCTGTTGAAATGATCATGTAGTTTTTGTCCTTTTATTTGTGTGTTCTTTGACTCAGTCATATAACTCAGGTTTGTAGGGAGTGTCTGGAAATGCCTAGCTGATTAGAGTTATTGTTAAAGAGTTCTTTGAATAACAGACAAGACAGGATGATCAGTGCTGGGGCAGAAGGATGCCAGGGGAGCTGTAAGGAGTGGGAGGAAGCTTCTAACCCAGCCCTGAGAGGCCTGACATTAGGGCAGGCTTCCCAGAGGACGTGTCCCTGAGTCAGAGATGAGTGTTAGCTGAGATGAGTGGTAGAGGTTGGCACATTCCCAGCATAGAAGAGGCACTTGTTCACATTACTCCAGTAATGGTAGCAGGCACTGTGTGCATAGTATGCTTTGAGAATGAGCCACTGAGTAGTAACGTGTGCAAGTACTGTTAGTCCTGTAATAGCAGGAAGCAGAGCTGAGTGAGGTGGTGCATGCCTATAATCCCAGCGTTCAAGGGGCTGAAGCAGGAGGATTGTGAGTTCAAGGTCAGTTTGGATACATACTAAGAGCTGCCTTAAAAAAAAAAAAGCTAGGCATTGCACGTGCTTGTAATTCTAGCACTCTAGGAGATTGAGGCAGGTAGGGGAACTTAGCAATTTAGTGAGACCCTGCCAGATAATTTAAAAAATAAAAGCTGAGGATGTAGCTAAATTCGAAGACCCTGGGTTCAGTCCCCAGAACTAATGGATGAGTGAATGAGTAAGGGCAGGGGATATAGCTCAGTATGGAGGCTCAGTATGGGGATGAGGGGTGTGGGTAATGCAGCAGGTCAAGAATTTAAGTTGGACCTGCAAAAGGCCTTCAGCCTCCAAAGTATGGGCACTCAGAAATAACCTTCATGTGTACAGGCCAGAGGCAGCAGTTTTTCATGGCTTCTTTCTGATTTGTCTTCCTTGGAATCACTTTGCAGCATCCGAACTTCCAGCCACAGCCAAGCAAAGAAGCTGACCCTCTCGGGGAGTGACAGCGTGATCCTTGGTGATACAACTGCCAGTGGAGGTGGTGATGAGGAAGATGGACAGCCTCGGCGGGCTGTGGACAATGAGAAAGAGGGAGTACAGTACAGCTACTCCATCTGCCACCTGATGTTCTGCTTGGCTTCCTTGTACATCATGATGACCCTGACCAACTGGTACTGGTAGGAGGCATAGATAGAACATATGGAAGACTTCTTAGCCCTTGTGCTGCCTATAAAATGTTTAGCCATTGTCCTGACCACAGAATCTCTTCTTTTACTCCTATTATGAAGCTATGCTGGGTGCTCTTTTGTAAAATACTTTTGACTTTGCCTCCGCTAGCATTAAAACCCAGTTGGGATTCTTTGCAATACAAATCATTTGGAGCTGAGTTGGGTTAAGACAGAAAATTAGGACATAAAGCAGTCTAACCTATCTTTGTTTACTAGTTTTCTCTGTGCTTAGAGATGGCCATTATCAGAGTATTCTGGTCAAAGTAATAATGCACTCAGGAAGGAGTTTCAAGGAGGCCATTTCAATCTAGACTTTTGCCAGTAATTGGCCAGATATTCCTGGATAACCTTGCCCCAAGAATAGCTGAAGGCTTTTATGCTGGCATGAAGAAAAATGCCATTTGAAAGTAGTGTCCTATACTCATAATGGCGAAAAAGAGCAACTTCCTTAAGTCCCCTACTAGAACCCTCTGCGGGTGGCAGTGCCAGCCAGTCTTCACTGGGAAGTTTCTTGGCCTTGGCTGGGGGGAGCTGCAGGATGTTGATACCAGGTTCCTTTACTGTTTTTGAGACAGGGTCTCACTATGTAGTTTAGGCTGGCTTGAACTCATGTGATCCTCCTGTCTCAGCCTGCCAAGTGCTGGGATTCCAAAGGTGTGTGGCACCATGCCCAGCAAGGTTCCTTTACTTGATGCTCTTATTTTCTAGCCCCGATGCCAAGTTCCAGACTGTGTCCAGCAAATGGCCAGCCGTGTGGGTCAAGATTAGTTCCAGCTGGATGTGCCTCCTCCTCTATGTCTGGACCCTTGTTGCTCCACTTGTCCTCACCAATCGGGACTTCAGCTGAACTTCTGGTTGCCAAGGACACTGCTAAAGTTCATAAAGGTCACCTTTGCTGAAAGCTCATATCCTTTTAAGTTTGCTTCAACTAAACTACTAAGTGAATGCTTTGTGAATTTGCCTATATTCACGTTTATATCAAAAGGCAAGATTGAATAATGCTCAATGCAGAATCTGAATTTTTCATTTCTATGTTTATTATGTTTATTTGTAAGGATATAGCACAAAGGGAACATTTTTATGCATTAAAGTGAACTACAGCTGTGCTGTGAAGAAAGTTCTTTATAAAGACCTATAGGTTCCTACAGTTTTGATTTAAAATACTAGAAGAATGTTGGATATTTGAAGCTATGGTTAATATATTTCTATTGAAGTCTCAAAAAGCAAAAAATAATGCATTTATATGACATTTTCCTCTGTGAAGGTCTTACTGTGTGATATAAGCACACTGTTCAGTGAGTAAACTCTTCAGAGATGTAGCATTGTAGTTCTCGGGCAAGGATTATGTAGGCAAGTCCTTCCCCAGAAGAGTGGTTGCTGATAAGCCTACTGCTTCTACATCTTGAGTTTTTTATTTCCTTTTTTTAATATGACAGCATTGATGCTGCTTCATACAAGTCTGTGGCTTTGCCAGATATGTAAATTTCAATAATTGCTTTGTAGGTTTGATTAAAATGAACATTCAGTTAGGAAAACATTGTAGTGTATATGTAATCTTGTTATGAATATGTAAAAGTAAAGTGCATGTAAATTTATTATATTTGCACTAAAGGTATTTGATTAAAATAGAAAGATACTAAGCTTTTAAGGCCCTTTAACAGCTTTTTGAGATAGCAGCCATTCATTATTTTTGGTCAGTCACAAGTTTATTTGGTATCTAGCCAGGAAGCTCCTCTTCCTTCTAAAACTTAGTGAGCCAAGTCTTGAAATCGTTAAAAAAATCATCCTGGGGCCAGGGATTAGCTCAGTGGTTTCGCCGCCTGCTGTGCAGGCGCAAGGACCCAAGTTCAATCCCCAGTACCAATAAATAAATAAATAATCAATCACTCAATCATCCTAAATACCTTCTCCAGGTTAGACTTTGGTAGATGAAACACAATTAAGGTGCTGTCAGGAAACATTTCCTGACAGGCAGCATAGAGGGAGATAAGTAGGTGCAGTGGTGCACACCTGTAACCCCAGCACTTAGGAGACTGAGGCAAGTTCGAGGCCAGCTTGGGATACACAGTGAGTCCAAGGCCAGCCTGGACTACCTAGTGGGACCTGTATCAACAAACCAAAAATAAAGAGAGGTAGAATAAAAACAGTTCTTTCAAGATTCACTGATTTTTCTGTGCCAGGCCCTGTAGGTTCTATACCTGGAGGTACAGATAGACACCTCACGAAAAACATGGTATACATAGCTCTTTCACTTGGACTTAGGTTTAGATGGGAGTGAAAATGAGCTGATGGGTGTTTACAGTCTGGTAGATTAGCACTGTGATCTCAAAATGGCAGAGAACTCAAGAGAGGTACCTGGATAGAGGGTGTCACGGTGGACTGACTGGAGAAAGTGCTACCTAAGCCAGGAACTGTTGTGGGAGTCAGATAAGAGAGAAGTGGTACGGTGAGATGACATTGCCGAAGGATAGCCAGAGTGACATGCTAATAAAGTCAGAGGTCAAGCAGGGATGGGGGGAAGTATCAGGGGATTGAGTGGTGAGGGCTTTATAACCCGCCCTGAGAGCTTAGACCTTACACGTTGAGGGTGACAGAAAGTATATTCAGAGTGACATGAGCAGACAATGTCTTTAGTCACTGGCTTCTAGAAAGTGGTTGGATTTAGAGATGATACTGAGATTTGAAATAGAGAAGCAGGGGAGAAATTGACAGCTGAGGGCAACTTGGTAATTAGAATTTTAACATTGGCAATTAATTAGATCTAGGAAAGAAGTTGATTTCTTCAGTGATTAATCATCCAGGTAGATGGTAGTTCCACTTATAGTGGACCCTTGACTTACAAACTGAGTTTGTTCCCAAGGGCTGGTTGTAACTCAAGTTGGTCAGTTGCCTTCAGAGTCTCCTATATAATTTTAGGCCACACTTTCTTCCAGACAGATCTGTGTCCTTAGAGAGACTGGCCCAGGATTTCTCAATTAACCCCACATAGGAAAAGATGTAATGTTTCTTCCAGAACTCTTTAAGGGTTAAATCTGTATCCGAGACCATCTGGAAGCACAAGTGGCCAGCATATGGGTCATAACTCAAGACTTTGGTCATAAGTTAAAACTAAAATTCTGGTCACAACCCAAGTTGTTTGTATGTCAGGCTGGTTGTAACTCGAAGGCCCACTGTATTTAGATAGGAAGCAGGAAGAAGCCTGGATTGTGTTACAGCAAAGAAAGTGGTCCCTTGGGAATGGTTATTTGGCTAATAGTTTAATAGATCTTTTGGATTTCCATCCCAGCTATTTTCTAGATGTTAAACTGATCGGCTAATACCGAGTATATACTATGCTTTATGATCCTGGACAAATGGCTCTACATCTCTTTGCCTCAGTATTAGTACCTTATACATAAGGCTGTTTGAAGAATACAGCTATTTTGCAAAATCCTTAATCCACTTTAAGCACTCTGACAGTGGCTGCTAATCTCAGTGTGGGTTAATATGAGACTGGTGGTACTCTGGCCAGTGTTGTTCAGAAGTTGATGGAGGGTGGATTGGAGGTTGTCTTACAGAATGAAGAGGGGGCAGTCTCAGTTGGAGGTAGGGAAGTAGCACTCGATGTGAATTGTTGGAAGCACCATTCTTTACTCCAGTGGTTTATGGTAGGTTCACATGCAGAGATAAAGTTGCAGAGGATTTGCAGGGCAGCTAGGTTTGGCTTTCAGTCTCTCCCGTGTAAAGCAGATACCCTACTTTTCCTTCACAGCAGGGGAGCCTCAGTAAAAAACACTGAAGGTTCTAAACTTCAAAAAATTCTAGTGTCCCATCTCTCCACCTTATATAATTCAAAATAAAAGCAATACTAACCTGTAAAATAATGTAACAGTCCAATAAAGTTTTTTACTTTTTTGTCATGATAACTTTGATATTAATTTGAAGTAAGAAATAATTTTTTAAAATTTGGGGCAGTGTGTCTCCTTTGGTTGGTCATCTAAGAATGTTAGTTCTGCCTGTTACTAGGAAACGCAGTCGTTCACTGAAGACCCAGCTGAATTATACGTGTGAGTGCTGAATGATACACAAATGCATTTTGAGTAAGCCCAGGATCATACAGCAGGGGAATATTTGGAATCATTGGATCTCAAGGTGTCCTTTCATTTCAGATGAGTCACCTGGTGTTTCATCACTAGGAATAGGCCTGTGTCCCCTGTGGCTGCCGATTGAGGGCCCTGGCTCCTGGATCAGTGGCACACTTTAGGGATTCATCAAAGGCCACAGCAGTGGCTGCCACCTTGCCCAAGTTACAGCTGTGAAAAAGCTGGTAGGCCCATGTTGGATTAGTTCGCTCTCTAGGTTGGTCTTGTACTCGGCTGGGAGATTAAACTTGAGAACCAAAAATATTGCCAAAGAATGACATGAACTTGGTTATCAGTATAGCTTTTGATGTTCTGGATCAGACCATGACTCAGGTCTAATTCAAAACAGGATAACCTTTTTCCCATTATAGGTCTTTGCTTGATTGTATTTTTCTTTTTACACATCAAGCTAAAGTGAGTATTTAGATAACATCCTGCATTTGATTTGTATAGATTGATAGCAGATACCAGGCTTATGCTTATTAACAGGAGCTGCTGGGGCTGGGGATGTAGCTCAGTGGCACCACGCCTGCCTGGCAAGTGCAATGTCCTGTTTAATCCCTGGTACCAAAACAAAACAGGAGCTGCTGTTCATTTCTGTACTCTTGTTGTGTTGGTCTGCCCATCCTGTTACTAGGTACTCAAATCTGTCAGGCTCCTTAGTGTTGTCTTCATTTCTGCTAGGTGACTCAAGCCACACAGTGCCTCTGTCCTCAGGTAAAGAGTAATTAATAGATACTACATAGCTGTGTAGGTGAAGAGTAATTAATAGATACTACATAGCTGTGTGCGCTACGTGCTGGTTGGATGTATCTGCACTCCTGTAAGATAGTAATTACCCTCTCCCCTTTACAGAGCAGACTGAGACTTAGAGAGGTTAATAACTTGGCCGAGATTACCCAAGGAGGCAAAGCTGAGACAAACTAGGGCTTGAGTTCTTTTCTCAAACAGACTTCGTCTTTGGGTCTGCATGGAGACATAGGGGAATCACTGGGCTCATAAAACTACTTATCATTTAAAGGAAAGTTAATACTGTTGCATGGAGGCAGTCACTAATATCTTACTACGTCATTCTGTTCCTACAGGCTGGCACCTAGTCAGAAAAGAGCCTAAACATTGGTTAAAATAAATTTCCCTAAAAAGCTGGGTGTGGTGGTGCATGTCTATAATCCCAGCACTCGGGAGGCTGAAGCAGGAGGGTCGAAAGTTTGAGCCCAGCTTGAGCCAACTTAGTGACTCAGTGAGACCCCCGTCTTAAAAATAAAGGGCTGAGAAGTTGTAGCTCAGTGCAGAGGTCCAGAGTTCCATCCCCAGTACTGGGAAAAACAAATCCCTAAGTGGTACCCGAAAGGATGTTATTATAACTTTATTTGGTGCTAAGGATGGAATCTAAGGCACTGTATGCTTAGTACACACTCTGCCACTGAGGAACCCCCAGCCCTCCTCACCGGCTTCAGATGCAGAAATTTAAAACTTAACTGCCATTGACTGGGACTGCCACACCAGTAATGGGATGAATAGGCACTGAGAGAATGCCCTTTCAGGATATGGAAATTGGCCTGTTGCTGTGCGGAAAGAAGGACTGGAGTTGTTAGCTCCCATTTTCCAAAGTGAGAGAGAGACCATGTTTTAGCTGCTCTGCAGCTTCCTCAGGAAAGGCTGGCCTAAAGAGCTACTTGTGCTGCAGTGTAAGGACTTCTGGTTGCACCATCAGAAGCTAACAGAGCCTGCATCCAGTGTTGGGAGTTTCTCAACTGCCTCACCACCATACCAGACCCTCTGTGGGGACCCAGCTGCTGGCTACACTGGGGCCAAGTCTGTGCCCCTTCATAAAAACAAGATGACAGGTAAAGACAGCTTAGCATGTATGGCACCAGAGTTGGGCAAGCCACACCCATAACCCCTCACAGAGTCTGGGTTTTCCTCATAGTCCTCCTGGAATAAAATGTTCAGTTATAACCTGGGTCTCAGATGTAAAGAACTGCTGCACTATATTTCCAGAAAAGCTTTTCTCTATGAACAAAACTTTCTCACTCTCTATAAAAAATTCCCACCTTCTTTCCCTGTTCTCTCAGGGGTGGGATGCTTGACTGGGGGAGTAAGAGATGTGCACCACCTGGCTCTGGCCAGCAGGTCCTTCCGTCGCAGGCTCCACCCACACTGACTTGGAGGGCCAGCTCTACTGTTCCACTAGCTGTGTATTCTTGGGCAGGCCACTTCACTTTTCTGTGTTTCATTTCGCCCTTAGTGGGCAATAATGCTGCTTCATGAAGGGGATCTGGAGGTTAAATGTATCGTGTGCTTAACATGTGCTCACTCTGCAGGAGCACTTGGGAATTGGAAGGATTTGAGGCCAGTATGAAGAAGCATCGCTGGGCCTACAGAACTGAAAAATCGGCAAATTTTTTCTATTAAATGTAACTGACTCCATTCTCCTTTGTACACCCTGGTGTAATCTCAGTGCATGTGATTTTTGGAAGCAGTGAGCCCAGCGTCTGCTACAAGGCCCTCCTGGCCTCACCGAGAGGGAGGCTCTGCCTGTCAGTAACAAACCTCAGAATCTTTACCCAAATTGTCATGGCCACCAAAGAACTCCACACATACTCCACCTTAAAGGAATTTTTATTAAGACCCAGTCATGCATACTAAAGTTACATATTTTCACCACTCTGACTTAGAAAAATGCACTAGAAAAATAAACATTTGGTCAAAACAAATACTGAAGTAGATGAATCCACCACCGTTGTCCCTATACTCAAAGCCAAACTGAATTTCAGTTTGAAGCAAGGAATGTCATCAGTGGCTGAAATGGTGCTGCAGACTGGTCAGGAAATTAGCCCAGCTCCCACCCCATCAGAGTGGGGTCAGAAGCCTGTGGCCACAGAGAAGTTTCAAGTATTTCACACAGCTTCCTACCTGACACGCCAGCAGCGGAGGCAGGTCCACAAGAGCCCACAAAGCCCGATACTGCCTGACTAAATGTGCTACCCAGTGAGATTTTGAAAGCCAGTTAACTGAAACCAGTAAATCCATCACTGTCATCTCTGTCCGTAAGTCACACTGGACCTTCTCATAAAGCAAGCTCCTGTTAAGGAGAATATCTGATGTTTCTTTCATTTCAAGCACACCATTTCTGAGTCGGGAGAGCAGAAAGACCTTAGATTTACAAAGCTAATTGATCCCAAGACTGGAATCTCTTGAGCAGTCCACGTGTTTGGAGCCTCCATGACTCTCACGGCCATAGGACAGCCACACTTAGATTAGCTTAGCTGAGATCTTATTCTCTAAACAAAGGTTTCAAAGGAAAACCTGGAAAGCTGAAAACTTCTAAATGAGGTAATAACGCCACAACAGGACAGCTTTTGCTGCTCAAATAGAAAAGTAATCCTATGACTGATCTGAGGGTGAGATAACATTTACAGGAGTGGCCCACTCAAGGCCAGTAGCGCACAGGAATTCAAGGGAAGTGCTTTCTGTCACCCCAGCTCTTTCTTGGAAAAGCTGTATCTGGTAACCCGAAGCGCTTATAAGCCCGAGTCAAGTGATTCCTCGGAAAGCAGGATGAAGTGTGAACAATCCCAAGCTACCTCAGGTAAAAATAAACAGGAAAGTCAAAGGGTGAAGGCAGGGTTGCATTTCTGGCTGCTAAATAGACTTCACTTGCCTCTCCTCATGAAGGTAGAACAGAAGGTTCTAAGAAGAGGCAGTTTTCCAGAATTCTGGGTAGGTGGATAGGGGAAGGGGAGGAAGAAATCCCTATATACCTAAGCTCACACATTGATTTGGAAGCTCCAGTTCCCAACACTTTCAGACCTAAATTTCCTAAATTCACATGGACAAGAAAAACGAGTACAGTGTCCCTGTGGCAGTAAAACCAATTAGATGCCAGAAACAGGAGGTTCAGGCTGGGCATGGTGGCCCAACGCCTGTAATCCCAGCATTAGGAAGGCGGAGGATGGGATCACCGCAAGTTGTGGCCAGCCTGGGCTACACAGTGAGACCTTGTCATACAGATTCAAGGGTATGAAGGGGCTCTAATTCAAGGCCACCTAGGAGGATAAAGCTGGCACTCAGTTTTCCTAGCTTATTATAGCTTTCTTGTTCTTCCTGGTACACTACCATGAATATAGAGAATGGTTAATTTCCAGGTATTTGTGAAACACCTGAAACTTTTCCCTGATGGAAAACACTCCCCAGTTTTCAGTGTTCACTTGTGGGCTCCACCAGGGGTTTCCCAACTACTAAGCATGGCTCACTGCGGCCCCGCTGGTCCACACAGCCCCTGCCTTAGTTTGCACCAGGGAGGTTCGTGTTCACAGCTGGGTCCAAACCTCCTGAGGTGCAAGACTATTTGATCTCTCTTTGGAGCCAAAATAAAGCACAGCAGCTCCCAGGCAGACCAACCCAGGTGGACTTCTCTCAGAAGCTGAAAGAATCCGCTCTTTCTGGGTCCAACCAAAAAGGCCAAGGAAATGAGCGACATCCTTTCTGGTCTTTCTTTTTTTCCTCCTCGTACTGAGGATCGGACCCAGGTGAACTCTAACACTGAGGTACATTCCCAGCCCTTCTTATTTTTGATTTTCAGACAGGGTATTGCTAAGTTGCCCAGGCTGGGGTCCAGCTTTTGATGCCCCTCAGCCTCCCAAATAGCTGGAATTAAAGGTGTAGCACCACGCACTTCACCTTTCTGGTCTTTGGTAGGCTTCACCAATGCCTGGCCATCCCTATGTTAAGTCATACAGACAAAGGCAACTGGCCAGCAACTAGATGCAGGATCTAATCCTCAGCAACATGGTGGGGCGTAATGCTTGATCCCTCCTTTTGTCTAGCTGTTTGTTTGGTGGTTTTCTCTCTCTAGTGCCTCTCACCAGGTCGTCCACACAGGCTGCTGGGTTCTCAGTGTCTACTTCAGCCATTGCCCTCATGTCCTTTCAGCACTGCCGGTCCGGTCCTATCACTGTCAGTTGGAATTAAGGGGAGGGAGGGGCGTACATTTTGGCACTTCTGGCCCAGCCAGGACCCTAGAACCTAGGGTTAGTATCTGGTACAAACAACTGTCCATAGAATTAGCATTAATTAAGTCAGTAAATTAATTTCCACCAAAAACTTACCAAGGTGTCTTTTAAATGGCTGTAAAGATGAACAGCTAGGTAGCATAAACTGAGCTTTGAATTCCAGAGTATTTTCTCTGAGCAGTTTGCCTTGCCTTTACAGTCTAAATGCAGAGAAGGTATGTGCACAACAAGCAGTACTTGTCACTATTTAACTCCACAGTCACAGGCATGAATAGGAAAGGAAATAGGCTGAAAGCTACCAGATGAACCACCTAATATGGTGCTTGGGTTAAGTAAAGCTAAAGTCTTGACAGGGAGGGTCTAAAGTGCTGAAGTAGTGACTAACATTCAGGCTGATGAAACTCCAGTGGGAGTGCAGGGGCCCCAGAGGTGACTTAGCAATAATCTGCCCTGTGTGCATTTCCAAGGATGGATTAAAGAAGCCCAGGTATTATAACCACCATAGCCAGGTTTGCATTATACTACTAGTGTCTCAGGGATGGAAGGAATTCATACAAGATCTAAGTCAGCTCACCTGGAGGCCTGACCAGTGCAGTCTTTTTTTTTTTTTAAAAGACGGTCTCACCATGAAGTCCAGGCTGGCCTCAAACTTCAGTCATCCTGCCTCAGCTTCCTTGGTGGCTGAGATTACAGGCAAAAGCTATCCTCTTAAAGTTTAGCCATCACTAGAAAAAGGAAAAAGGAAGTTGGTGTCATTGAGTTCCAGAATGTATATACTTTTTTTTGGTTGTAGTGGTACTGGGAATTGAACCCAGGGCCTTTGCACTGAGCTACATCCTCTGCACTTTTTATTTCTGGGTATTTTGAACAGGGCCTATGTAGTTCGGGCTGGCCTTGAACTCACTATGTAGCCCAGACTGGCTTTGAACATAGTGATCTTCCTGCCTCAACCTCCTGAGTGCTGGGATTACAGGAGTGCGCCACCACACCTGGCTCTCCAGCACTTTTTGAGGCAGGGTCTAAGTCACTGAGTTGCCCTGCAGTGCTTGAACTTGTGATCCTTCTGCCTTAGCCTCCCAGAGTGCTACGATTACGGGTGTGTGCCACCATGCCTGGCTGTACCTACTACTTTCTTTAAAGGCTGGGCTAAGTGGTGACAAAGGCCTGTGAGTACCATTAAAAAAACCAGGATCCAACTATTTGTATATACACAGTCATCTGTCCAATCAGAAAAGCTAATTTCTCCCAGCCTCATTTTACAGATAAGAACGCCGAGGCCCACAGTGGCCCATGTCTGGTCCACACAGATCTGGAGCTCAGGTCTCTGACTCCTAAGCCAGAATTCCTTTAGCCAGGACCTTGTATAATTCCATTGAGAACCAGGGCTAAGGTTTTATAGGTTTGGGAAAAAAAGTTTCTACTGCAAGATTTGGCCAGTGAGTCCAGGGATGCTCTGAAGCCTCTGGCTTCCAGATTTGATCAGGGAGAGGTGCTTGGGTCCTAGTGCTTCCACTATCAGCTAAGGTGCTTCCCAAACCCAGTGACGGCAAACGGGGCCAGACCTCTGGTTTGAAGATTCCTGATGAGCAACAGAGGTATACGGTTAAGGTTCCTGTGAAAGACAAAGACCTCCCAAGTCTCACATTTGGCCACCTTACAGGTCTGGCCAAACTGTTTCGGAGTAGCAGCTGACTGGCCAATCAGGTTTTCTCCAGGAAAGTGGGATCGAAGCAACTTTGATGCTGACTTTAGCTTCTGAGATGAGTTAAGAACCAGACACAGCTTAACAGTTGCAAAGAGCGAGTGCAAATGTTTGAGAATCACACTGGGGATATTTTCCACATATCCTAGGAATAATCCAAGTGACCAAAGGCTTCCCCATGGTGGCCTGGCCCTTGGAGCTCCTCAGGTTGTTCCTCTATGCTACCATTTCATTACAAGCAGCAAGACTGAGGCCTTGGCATTTAAGTTCTTTTGAGTCTCTAAAGAGGAAAGGAGAGGATTTAAACCTGGTGACACCCCAAGGGGCTGGCTAATAGCAGGAATACAGCTGGGACTTCACAGCTCGCATAGAGTCGTCACACTGAGCATCAGAAGTCAGCCCCTCGGGCAGCTGTGCTTGCCCCAGGATGCTGTCGCAGGCGGGCACAGGTTGGCAGAACTCTCTCACAAAGTCTTCCTCGGAGGCCAGGAGCACTTCGTTCCAGGTGGCAGTGTCCAGCTCTCCTGCTGTGCCCCCGTACTCCTTGGGGAGAATGTTTCTGGGAAGGTTTGTGTGGAGAGAGTTCAGGTCAGACCCATGGAGGAAGAACTAAAAGGAAATATAGACAGACACACATGACCTTAGTTAAATCAGCAGTGCAGCAGTCTCCTTTGTGGTAGGTGTTCAAATGAATGTGTGCTGAATGAAGAAGGGTTAATAGTAACTGTGCCCTTCCAGATTTTCAAGTCCCTAAAGCTTAGTGCATCCTTAATTCTTTTTTCCTCTTACAACACATCCTGTTGGCTGGACCTTCCAAATATATCCAGCATCCAGCCACTTCACTGCCACCTTAGTTGTGCCATGCTGTCATCACTTCCTGAAGTCCCACATTAGCCCCCTACCTGGCCCGCTCCTTGGCCCCATTCTTGTCACACGAAAACCGAAGCTCAGGTCATGGCCCTTCCCTATTTATGACCTTCCAGTACAGCCAAGTCACGAAAGCCAGAGTCTGTGTGGTGGGGCACGAGGCCTATCACAAATTGGCCCCATTACTTCTTCACACCTCCTCGGACCATTCTCTCTTGCACTTCTGATTATCCACCACACCAACCTCCGGGTGGCTCCCCCAGCATCTGGGCATGTCCCTGCCGCAAGGTCATGCTGTGCTGGTCTCCCAGTTGCCGTATGGCTCACGCCCTCGCTTCTCAATTCTTTGCTCAAATGTCAACTTCTCAATGCCACTACCTCTAACTGCCCTGTTGTACACTGCAACCTTTTTTTCACCTCTCATACCCATTATTCCCTTCATTTGCTTTATTTTCCTCGGTAGCACTGATCATATTCTAATACCAGATAACCATTGCCTATGTATCTCTTTAGAATATAAGCTTCTCTGGGCAGGGATTTTGGTCTCTTTTGCCCACCTTGTACATAGTAGTTGATCAATAAATGGCTTGGAAGGAATGAATGAACATACAAGGGAACAAATGAACCATAGACCTGTCCAAAGGCTGCTCTGGTAAAAGTTCCAAATAGAACCAATATGAATCCACACCCAAGGAGGGAGGCCACTAAATCAGCAGTTCTCAAACCTAGCTGTGGATTAGATTTACCTAAGGAGCACTGGGCACAGTGGTGCACACCTATAATCCCAGCAACTCGGAGGCCAAGGCAGGAGAATCTCCTTCCATTCTCCACCCCACCCCACCCCCCCGCCCCGTACCGGGATCAAACTCAGGACCTTGTGCTTGCAAGGCAGGTGGCAGCACACTGAGCTAAATCCCCGGCTCCCAAGGGAGGAGAATCTCAAGCTGAAGGCCAGTGTGGCAAATTACCAAGACCTTGTCTCAAAGCAAAAGGCTAGGTAGGGAGAGCCAGGCATGGTGGCACACACCTGTAATCCTAGCACTCTGGGACGCTAAAACAGTAGGATCACAAGTTCGAGCCCAGCCTGAGCAATTTAGCAAGACCAAAATAAAATTAATAAAAATGTCTGAAAATAAGAATTTTTTTTTTTTGGTACCAGGGATCGAACTCGGGTCCTTGTGCTTGCGCATCAGGCGATGAAACCACTGAGCTAAATCCCCAGCCCGGAAAATAAAAAATTTTAAAAAGGGTTGGGCTTGTAGGTCAGTGCAAAGGCCTAGAGTTCAAACTCCAGTACTACAAAGAACAAAGAGAGGAGGGGGAGCGTTAGGGAGAGGCCCCTGGGTTCAATCCTTAGTACAGACAAAAAAAAAAGCCTAAGGAAACATGAAAACCATGGATCCCTGCTGAAGTGCTAAAATCTCCAGGGAAAGGGTCTGGAAATGCAGATCTGGATTTTAAATTTTCTCCTTTGCAACTCCGAGATTATCTGTATACACTTCCTTTTGGCAAAGAGTATAAACTTGAGGATGCAGTCTCTGGAGTGACTCCAGTGTTCCTAGGCTGAGGGAAGGAGCAGAAAGTGCCACTCCTCATAGTGCAGTCAGCAGTCCTGGGAACGGTGAAGAGAAAAGGGCTCTCTTATCTTTCAAACTGTTATTTACCCTCTGAATTCAGAGTTAGGCTAAAATCTCACACAGCTCATAAGCCTTGAATTGTCCCACAACCTTTATACAAGACAACATATTAAGTAAACAGAAAGGCTGAAACACCTTTTTGTGCGTGTTTGTTTTTGAGACAGGGTCTTGCTGTGTTCCCAAGGGTAGCACCAGCCTCCTGGGTTCAAGCAATCTTTTGCTTGGCCTTAAAATCAGCATTTACAAAAGAGCATTTTTAAACCCCAAGGTGTTCTAGTAAGAAATGACCATTATGTGTAAGGCTCTGGGTTTGCTCCCAGCAGTATGAGCAGGGTAGAGGGGGAGGACCCATTAACTCTTCTGGGTTTTTTTTGGGTACTGGGGATCGAACTTGGGACCTTGTGCTTTCGAGGTAGGTGGCAGGAGCACCGACCCAAACCCCCAGCCCACCCATTAACTCTTTTAAGCAGTCTGACCAGTGGCTCCTTTCTGCTCCTCCTGTTTCCATATCTTAGTGCACATAAAATGTAATGTTGCTTCACATGCCTATGCCAGGAATGATTACAGAACAGAGAACCACTTATGATAAAAATCCTGTTTGTTCCCTCTGCTGGTAAACATTATATTTTTACTACTTTCATCTTACCCTCATAAGAAGGATTGCTCATTTACATTTACCCCTAACTTTGTACTTTCCAAATTAGTTCCAGGGCAAAAATAATTAAGTACTAGTTGGCATAACTAAATAAATCAAGGGAGAAAGAAAAATTAAAGCATCTGAAGTCCAAAAGGATCATCACTTACTCTGTTTGCTATTTTTTCCTTCAGAAATGGTTTTATGATGGCAAAAATGCCTTTAAATATTCGAGGTTCATTTACTACATGGACCGCTTTTATCCGAATGGGAAAACCATCCTGTGGGCAGAAGAGGAAGGGGGGTTAGAACACCTGCAGTGCCTGAAAGTGTCCCTTCTACAGCCAGCCTCCCCACTTAAACCTTGCATCCAGCCCCAACATCAGTCTGGCTTGACTCTCAAGACTCCTCAAAGACAGCCCCCACTGGGGCCAAACAGGAAGACAGGCCTTAGGGAAGCTTCCTCTGGGAGCCAAGACATGGTCAAAGAGTTGGCAAACAGGTGGAAAGGTGTTCCTCTTGTAGCAATAGTCTGAGTTTACATGGATGGATCTGAAAATATCAGACTTTCTGGGTCAGTGCTACCCTAAATATGTTTCTCAGTGCGTTCGTGTGATGGGAAAAAAAACGCTTCTGGGCAGGTAAGTTTGAGAAACAGGGTAAACACAGTCAAAAGGTTTCCTTAACTGTAATACCGTACAGCCTTTAACACATAAATGTTTATACTGAAATTCACCAGGAAGGGCCATGCTATACTGCACTTCTTAAACTTGTTTCATTCTGGAACTTCAGGAAAATATTGGTCCAGAGTCTATCCTGACACCGATGTACACGGTATTCAGCAGGGGCATCAAAAGAGAGTAGTGAGCTAGAGGTATGGCTGTGACTAGTTCAGTGCAGAGCACTTACCCAGCATGTGTAAGGCCCTGAGTTCAATCCCTGGCACTGCAAGTTAGTAACAACAGCAAACAGCAAAGTAAATGCTAAGGAAAGCCAGAGTACTGGCTCTAAGCCAAGAATCAGATTTATAGTAATGTCTGAATGTGGCCTTGATTTCTTCAAATAATAAGCCTGGTGTACAGCAGGGACTCACACACGACGGGACTCGCTAAAGGGCACTGTTACCCCGGGGCCCCGAAGTTCCCAAGAGGCAGTGCTCAGGGAGTGAGTTATAATGAACAAGGAGTCCAAATCTGTTACCGCTGTGACACTCTGGCCATGCTATATCTTCTCTAGTTCTGTTTCCCCATCTATCAAAAAAGGAAAAGGGGCTGGGTGTGGTGGCACACCTGTAAATCCCAGGCACTGGGGATGCTGAGGCAGAAGGACCACAAGTTCAAGGCCAGAGTAGGCAAGTTAGGAAGACCTTCTCTATAATAACAAAAAATGAAGGAGCCGGGGACGTAGCTCAGTGGCAGAGCACTTGCCTAGTATGTGCAAGGCCCTGGATTCAAATTCAATCCCCAGGATCACCACCAGTAAAAAAAAAGAATTCTTGCTTTGCCTAACCCAGGGGAATCTTTGAAGGACCGAATGGGTTATAATGACTGTAACAGTGTTTTACAAACTGTTAAATGCTGTGCAAGGATGTAAAGACTTTTATGGCTCTCAGTTCAGAACCTGGGCTCTGAAATGCAAAACAGGAGGTGTGAAGCCTCTCACCAAAATACAGTCCCACAGAACAAAACGCCCTAGGTCCACAGAGGGCAGGACAGGCTCCAGCACCTCAGGCAGAAGCAGAATTTCTCAATTTCATTTCTTAGGAGAATTATTCCTTTGCCTTCTGCCCCCCGCAAAAAAAAGCAGAAAGCCTTTTGCCTAGTTTTTTGGACTCTTTCCCTAAAGATAGTCTTGCCTAGATAGAAGCTAACTTCTCTGAAAATGCCTGGAGCCCCTGAGGAGCCAGTGGTAAATAGGAGTGCAGATGATTTCCCATTGCAGGGTGGGAAGTGAGCTTTGTACAATCAGTGAGACCTGCAGTAGACAAACGGGGCCTGGGGAAGCCAAAGCAACCACAGAACTGACACACAGCAAACAGGAGCCATACCTGGAGGATGCCAATCACCTTTTTGGCTATAAAAGGGCCGAAATGAGATGCTTTTGATAAGCTCACTCCTTTGTAGTCTGCAAGAATTATAATTCCATTCACCTGGGTTTCTTCAGACTGAATGAGTTTTTCTAATGTCAAGTATATGGCTCGGATGTTTTCAGTAATTGGATAGTTGCTCGGTATCCATCTGTCTAAGGTCATAAGACATGGACAGAATGTTACGGAAATGAATACAAACAAGTGATGAGACAAAGATTTATCTTCTAAAACTGCTATTTCAACATGGACAAGCGGGATGTTCTTGTGGTTAGGGTCCTACACAGAAACTGATATTTCTTAATGCCAAACCCAGCAGCACATTCAGAAATGGAAATGCAATTGAGTGTCGAGGTTAAAAGCCTGAAGTCAGACACAACTGGGAATCTGAACCTTACTAGCAGTGTGACCTTGGGTAAGTTGCTTCCTCGCTCTGAGCTTCCATCTGTCCCTAAGTAGAGCAGGAAAATGATACCTACCTTTGTGGAAATCTCTGCTTGTGGACCCCAGATATTTCCCCTCATCTTCGTGTAACCACCACCCTGATTGTCCTCAGGGAGCAACCAAGACGAGCCATGCAGTTAGGACAGAGGTGACTCAACTCCTGACTCTAGTGGTGGCAAAGTGGCAGGGGACTGACTGGCAGCCTGGTGTGACCACCCCTGAGCGTGTGATGCAAGCCACACTGGGTCATGCAGAGCCAAGGAGACTCAATTCTGGGACCTTGGCCTGTGGGAAAGGATGATCTCCCCTCCCTGGTAACAGTGGTGGGGCTCTGAGCCTGGATTCAGGGGCCCTGATTCCAGAACTGGCTGGAGAATGAGGCCCAGGTTGGGGCCAGTGCAGATGGAAGCACCCTCCACACCATCATTTTCTCCCCCCATGGGCTGGGACTCCAAGCCAGGGGCTCAGCCATGCTAGGTAAGCACTCTGACTGAGCCAAGGCCTGACCTTCCAATACCATCACTTGAGCCCTTGAATCGGGCCCTATCCAGATGTCATTTAGCTGGCAGATGAGGTCGCTTTTTTTGGTCTCGGCTGGGGCTAAGCTGGCTTTCAGTCACCTGCTCCCCGAAGAGAAAGTCTTAACTCCTGTAGCACCGTCAGGGGGCGCTGTGAGGAGGTGTGTAATGCTAAGTTCTAGGAGATCCTTCATCCAGTTCTCCTTTCTGGGGAGGATGCTTCTTCAAGGGTACTCACATATTTAATGACTGTTTCTTTCCTTTGGGAAATAAACATTTTATTTTATTTCATTTATTTATTTATTTATTTTGGTACCGGGGATCGAACTTGGGACCTTGAGCTTGTGAGGCAGGCAGCAGAACCACTGAGCTAAATCCCCGGTCCTAAAAATATTATTTTTGATTATTAGACCACTATCTTCAAGAAAATCCCACCAAGCTCTATGTGTCTTTTTCTTAGACAAAACTTTAGAAGTTTGTCATCAACAGGGTATGTAACATGTGCAAAATTCCTATGAAAAATCTTTGCCCTTGCTGGGTGTGGTGGTACATGCCCATAATCCCAGCACTCTGGGAGGCTGAGGCAGGAGAATGACCAGTTTAAGGCCATCCTGGGCAACTTAGTGACTAAGACAGGACCTTTCTCAAAATATAAAAAGGGTTGGCAGGTATAGCTCAGTGGAAAGGCTCTGTATTCCACCTATAGTACCACCAAAAAGAAAAAAAAATCTCTGAGCAAAAATAGTGCCAGCTTGCCATTTAATGTTGCTGCCTCTTAACCCTTTGGGGGGTTGCAGCTGATCTGAGATATACAAACTCTCCTCACCTACTGTTAAGGAGTCACATCAGACCTGCGACCTCTGCAGGGTTAAACCTGCCTCCATATAACTAGATGTCATCCCTTTCAATCACACGCATCTCCAAAGAGCTTATAAAAAGGCAAAGCCAAAGCCCAGGTGAGAACAAAACTTTGTGTATATATATGCCTCTTCCTAAGAAGCTGAGTCAGTAAGGAGGGGTGCAGACATGGCAAAATCCACCTCACAGCAAAGGGTTGAAACCATGCAGCTACAAGGTGCAACCGGTAAGGTAACATCTGACTGTCGTGTAATATTCTTAGAGCTGAGCACACAGAGCAGCAGAAAAGCCTGCTGGCTGGTTTCTAGGTCTCTTGGTGCCCTGAAATCTGCACTGTATTACTTATTTTAAAATAAACACCCCTAATTTCAGAAAGTGCCTGCCACAGCAGGTAACGCTGCGAATACTGTGCCTGGTACGGGGTAAGAGCTGAAGGGACTGATCCAGTCTCCAAAGAGAGATAGGTGAATGACTAAAGGCAAGAGCGATGTGGGGCTTATGGGCACAAGAAAGAGCGTCCCTGTTACACGTCCCTTTAAGAGCTGTTTGTACGCACGAGGGCTCCAGTGTGTTCTCATTTCCCAGCCTGCTCCAGAAGAACACTGCAGTCTTTCTTCCAGTTTCCCCGAGGTGCTGGGAAATGTTGAAGCTGTGGGTGGAGTGGGGAACACTCCTCCACTAATAGTGCATTTGGCATCAAGGGAGAGTACAAGATTAAGACTCAGAAGGCTGCAGTTCTAGCACCCTCTATTCACTTGCTATATATGAAGTTTTTAAATTATTTAAACAAGATTTGGAGTACTAGGGATTGAACCAAGGGCCTTTGCACTAAGCCACATCCCCAGGCCTTTTTTTATTCTGAAATAGGGTGTCACTAAGTTGATAAGTTACCCAGGCTGGGCTTGAAATTACCATCTTCCTGCCTCAGCCTCCCAGAGTGCTGGGATTACAGGTGTGTGCCATCACTCCCAGCTACACATTTCTAAATGGTCTTTGTGCGAAGGTGGCAGGGCACTGCCCCAACTGTGCCAAAGAAATAAGAATAAAAGAGGCAGAACAGTATTTTTGGTTTTATCTCTTTCTCAGCCCCTAAATTGCTGCTTACTTTCTACTGTTTGAATAATAAAGTTAACATAGATAACTAGTGGTATAAACAAATGTGATATTTATTTCTTTTGGTTGTACTCATGTTTTTTGTTGTGTTTTTTTTCCCTATAACATAAAAGACAATGAACTTCAAAAAAAAAGAAAGGAGGGAGGGAGGGGAAGGGAAAGGAAGGGAAGGTATCCTGATGACTACCATGAAGTGCTAAGATCAACACGTTAACTGAAGGGCCTGAGAAGTACCTCTATGGTAGTGTCTAAGGGCCTGGGTTCAACTCTAATACCGCAAAAAAAGAAAAAAAATTTAAAGTGAATCCTGCCAGGAGTTAACAAAGCAGAGGAAAGGAAGGAGAAGGTAGAGAAATGAAGTAGCCACCTTTTCAAGCTCTGGCCAGCCTATGTTCTCCCTCATTGATACATTTGTGGTTTTGGGGTTTTTTGCAATGCTAGGGCTCAAACCCAGGGCCTCACGCATGCTAGGCAAGTGCCACCCCTGAGTGACACCTCTTGCTCACTGACATCTGAGCCTCGGCCCACAGGGAGGGGCCATGGCTATATCCTATGACCACGGGCAGATTCCTCAGCCCACCATTCTCTCCTCTGGAAATCTGGAACCTGCACTGAGGGAAGTTAATTTGAGAGGTGAGAGGTACCAGATTTAGCTTTGTGCACACAGGAAGCCAAAGCCAGTCTACAAGGAGGACCAAGGTGGAGGCAGGGGAAGGGCTGACTCCTGGGGGCACTCTGGCTCTTGGATCTAGGGTCTGTCCGATAAGAGATGCTCCCCCTTTACCTATTCAGGTCTAGGAGATACTCTTGTCTCCTTAGACAAGGTTGGAGTAGGGTTTTGTCACAGGCACCCAAAGGAGGCTCAACTAACACAAAGAAGGGGGAAAAGGGACTAAGATGGTGTGAGACAGACATGTCCCTGAGACTATGCACATACTGCCCAGCAGTCTAGGAAAATACCTGGGCGGATGCAGAGCACGTGGCAGCCCCTGGGATCCGTGTGGGGCAGCACAGTGAGGAATCCGGAGCTGAGGACATCTTTCAGGGCTGATGGCCTCAGGTTACTGAAGACTTCGGGCCAGCTTCTCCTGCAGCTGTGGTAGTTGACCAGTAGCTGCAGGGCCCGGTCATAATCAAACTTGCGGGCACGCAGGAAGCGCAGCAGGAAGGCGTCGTCAAGGGAGGTGCTCAGGTTGGGGTACTCCTTCCGTACCATGTCACGGAGGGCCTGCACATCCCGGAGTCGCCACTCTGGCTTCTCCTGCAGCTCTTCCCGGGCCTTGGTGACCAGGTCTTCGGTCAGTGAGCACACGTAGCCGGGAGGCTCAGGTGGCGGCGGCAGCAGCTCATTTTCAGAGAGTGAGGCCACAGAAGGGCTGGTCCGCAGAGAGTCACTTTCTTCGGACATTAGCTACCAGGGTCCCTGCAGACACAGAAACCCCAGGTGAAGTCAAGAAAGCTCAGTGCTGCTCCTTTCCTTTTTTTTTTTTTTTGGTACTGGGGATTGAACTCCGGTCCTTGCGCTTGCACAGCAGGCGGCGAAACCACTGAGCTAAATCCCCGGCCCAGCGCGGCTCCTTTCAAACCCCAGGATGGCAGGATATGGGGGACAGCAATATTTTTGTCAGACCCAAGGAACCTCAGGGTTCTACAACGAAATGAACCAGATCTGAACCATAGGCCCAGGTCCGACCCCAGGAGGATGACGAACTTAGAATTCCCTGAAGACCCCACCCCACCCCACCCCGCAGCTCTGGCTGAATGTGCAAGTTCTTTGTCAAACATCGTGGCCTTCCCCGTAAGTGTACGGATGGGTGTTTGGCCTTACTCATCCATCATTAAATACAGGTGAGTCAAAACAACTCTGAGATTCAGATTGGCAAAATAAAGAATAGGCACCTTGAAATACTGGTGGCAGTATAAACTGACATCGCCTTGCAGGAGGACAGTTTGTCAATATCTACCAAAATTTAAAACCACATAGGGCTCAGTGGTTCCATTTCTACAACGTATATGTGTGTGCGAAATATAGACACATCCATTACAAGTATTATGATGACGTGTGACTGGAAATGGAGGGCAGGCTCCTGGGGACTGGTCCAGGGCCCTTACACTGAGCTACAGCCTCCTATCTATCTATCTATCTATCTACGAATCATCTATCTATCTATCTTGAAACAGGGTCTTCTAAGTTGCAACTTAGCAAGGCTGGGTTTGAACTTGTGATCCTCCTGCCTCAGCCTCTCAGAGTGCTTTGATTACAGCCCAGCACCACCATGCTCAGCTTGGAAATAACTATACATCAGGAGACTAGTTTGTACCATTGGAATGGGGTACTGTTCAGTTATGAAAAGGAATTACCAGACCTTTGTGAATGCACAGATAATTTTTACAGGAAAATATAAGAAATTGTTATTAATGGTTACCTCTAGGGAACAGAGCTGGGCAGCTGGACATTTAGTGTGAGAAAAAATCTTTTTACTAAACTATTTGAATTTTTAAGTTTTTTTTTTAATTTTTCGGCAGTTCTAGAGATCAGATCCAGGGTCTTGGGCATGCGAAGCAAGCACTTTACCACACAGTTAGCCATTCGCAGCTCACATGTACTCGTGTAATTTTTTGAACTTAGGTCCTTGCGCTTGCGCAGCAGGTGGCGAAATCACTGAGCTAAATCCCCAGCCCTGTACTCGTGTGATTTATTGTGGTCACTGTGAAAATGCATGGGTCAGATCTACTGCTGGAGAAACATAATTCACAAATGGCCTGAGCTGCTGTCCCTCTGGGTCATCATTCAGAGGATGCCACATTTTCCACAGACCATGCCCAGCCAGCAACTGAGTGAAACAAAGGCTCCTCTAATAGGCAGCTTTGGCCCAAGGACTCCCTGTTCATCTGAGCGAAACTTTCCTGGGCCCAGCCTGCCCTATTCTTGGCCAAAACCTCCTTAATGGGGCCCAGGTCTGCACCGCTGTCCGAAGATTCTTCCTACCTCTCCAGCTCCCCTCCTTCTTACCTATTGCAGTCATTACCTCCAGTAAACTTTGTGCACTGCGGGTCCAACCTCTAGATCAGCATGTCTGCTTCCTGGAAAACCTGAATGACACACTACTGAATGAAAACAAAAAACAAAAGATCTGCCCGAGATATTCTGAGAATAAGGTGACAGCAGGGTTGCCCAGTTCCTGAGCTCAAGCCCTTGTCCACAGGAAAGCAGGGACCGACTCAGGGCTTCCTACACATACCTGTGATGTCCTGACTGCGCCTGGCGGGACTCCTACTCCGCCACGGCCAGTGACCAAGCAGGTCACTTCCTCCAAATCTGAATCTGCCCACTCCATCTCTTGCAGCCCATCCTCCAGCTTACCCAGCTTTTTTCACTTCCTCCCAAAGGTGTTCTCATCCCATGCAGCCCTGATCTCCCACTGGCATGCTCTTCCTCCACTTCCTCATTGACCCACACTGATTCACCCTAGAGTCTCAATTAGATGCCACTTCATTCATTCCACAAATACTGAGACCTGCACCGGGGCCATCTGGGCATACAGAAGTGAACAAGGAATCCTGCCTTCATGGAGCTTAGATTCTAGTGAAGACAGTGGGATAAGGCCATAAGCACAATAAACAATAGTCTACTACAAGGTGCTTTGCAGAGAATCAAGAGAATGGGCTGAGTGCATGAGAGTAGGGGTTGCAATCTTAAACAGGGTAACCAGGGAAAGTCTCACCTACGTGACTTCTGAGCGGAAGCAAAGCAGTGGAGGAGCAAGCCATTCATATCTGCATGAATAACAAGTACAGAGAGGTTTCATGTAGAACATACCTGGCCTTTCTGAGCAACAGAAAGGAGGCCAGCATGGCCACAGCCAAATGAGCAAGGTGTGAACACTACCAGATGAACCCAGAGGCTTACCAGTAGGGAGGCCAATGGTCAGGGTTTTGCAGGCAACAGGAACTTTGCCTTTTACTCTGAGTCGGGAATATGGAGGGTTCTGAACAGAACGACGTGATCAGATTTGTATTTTAAAAGCATATTTTATATGCCACCTTAAGAACGGACTGTGAGGACATAGAGACTCTACAGAGGTTTACTGCAATGATCCCAGTGAGACATGACAGCGGCTTGAGGAGACCATGTTAGGTGACCCCACCCCCGGGGCTCTCTGGGGTAGCAGTTCTCTCACTCTGCTGTCGCTGTCTGCAGGCAGTTTGTGGGAGATATCTGGTCTTGTTCATCGCCATACATTCAGCACCCAACATCAGGCAGTCTACAGACCATAAACATTTGTCCAATGAGTTTACTGTGCTTGGCAGAGGTAGGCTGAGCAAGAAATGAAACAACAACCCTGGCTTCCTAGGCGCCATCCTGTGCTGTTTCCATGGCAGTCACCAACAGACGCCTGTAACCCTGACCCTCCTGTAACGGAGGCTGTCCCGAAACTCCTCTCCACCCTCAACTCCCTCCTCCCCCCAGCCAGCACAAACAAGCTGATAGCCCATCATTCTTGGAACACCTTGTGTGCCTCTGATACCCTCTGCCTGCAATGTCCTCTCCTTGTTCGGTGTTAATCAGACAACTCATCATCTTCAAGGCCCACCTGTCACCTCCTCCAAGCCTTCCTTGACTTCCCCACAGTGACTCCTCCTAGTTTTCCACAGCACCGGGAGGAGTCCTATTTCTCTTAGAAATTGCAGTCCAATGTCACAAGTGTTTACATAAAGCTCCTCAGAGTCAGCTTCCTCATCCACTTATTTACCAAATAATTACTGATCACCAATTATACTTGTCAGGCACTGTGCTCATGGGCACTAAGGGACACAGTACTTCTTTGTCTCATGAAGCTGACACTATAATGGAATGATGAAAACAGCTAAGACATGCTTGAGCGTTTTATTAGGCATCAAACACTGCTCAACACTACATCGTTTTCTCATTTCTTTTTTTCTGCCCAGTGCTGGGAATGGAACCCAGGGCCGCTGAGATGCTAGGCAAAAAAATCCTCTCCCCCACCAAAAAAAAAAAATTGCTCTCCCACTGTGCTACACCCACAGACCCTCAGTAACCTTCACAATATTTGGTGGGTGGAATATTACTGTTTCAATTTTACAAAGGAGTAAACCAGAATGTCCCCTAGACTGTGAATTCTACGAGGGCAGAGGACTTGCCTGCCATGTCCACTGCTATCCCCAGTGCCTGGCACTTCGCAGCTCTCAGCACACAGGGTAAGATACCAGGTTAAGAGATGTGCCCAAAGGTACAAACCTAGTGAAGCAGAGAGAGGAAGTGTCAAGCCCCACCCTGGGCTCATAATCTCTACCCTCCACCTGGGCAGTGTGGCTCAGTCACAGTCTGGTGGACAGATGGACAGGATGCAAACATCATTTGTCACCAGGGTGTAGCCAGGAATCTTCCCCAGCTGCAGCCCATCATTTTGTGGAACGTCACCCTCCTCCCCTCCTCAACGAGGTGCCAGGAAGTCATCTCTCCTGGAGCTTCAGAAACTCCACATCCCGCTGACAATCTTCCGAGGCCCCCTACTTCCGGTCGCCCCCTCCCCAGGTGTCCCCATTTCCTGGGGTCTCTCGCTCCTCTGGCCCCCACTTCCGGTGATCCCTCCCTTTCAAGGTCCCTTTCTCGGCCTTCAGGGAGCACGCACGGGCTCCTGGGGACTCACCAGCCCGGCTGCGGGGCGGAGCGCGGGTCAACCGGCGGCGGGAGCTTAGTCCGACAGCACGCGCAGAGAGCACCCACGCTGCCGGCCCGGCCGGCCCGGCCCTTCACGCCGGAAGTAAGGTGCGGGGCGGGGGAAGGCGGGGCGCGGGAAGGCGGGGCGCCGCCTAGGAGTGCGCATGTGTGCCATCTTGTCGCGTACCCAGCGCTCTGTCGCCACCTGGCGGCCGTTCTCCGCGCTATAGAACCCCTTGTGGCTGGGAGAAAGGGGAGCTTGAGTGAACAGCTTGTCAAGCTCTTCTTATAGATGGGGAAATAGACCCAAAAAAGGGAGGAGAGAAGCAGCCGTTTTCTGAGAATATATTATCTGTACCCGGTATTTCCCATGAGTTATCTCATTAAATCCGCAGGTTTCTCTAGTTTCCCTTTCTCATTACATCCTCGTATTTGTGCAATTTCCCTATTTCATGAAAGGGAAAGTGGCAATCAGTGCAGTAAAGGACTTCAAACCTCAGGATCAGCATTCCAGAATTCTTCCACCACGGCTGCCAGCAGCACTGGTATATCAGTCTGGTTAGCAGGTCTCCATTCTTCCTGGGGCTCGGTTTCAGGTTACTCTGGATCTTGATTTACTAATTGTTTCCTGCTTTGGGGTTCTTGAAGTTCCATTTAGATAGTGGTAAACTGAAAAAGATGAACACTCAGTCTAGCTCCATGCCTAGACTAGCTCCACACCTTGTCTTTTAGCGCCTTCCATACATGGTTTGTGCAACTGCAACTTTGAGACAAATCTCTTAGGTCCCTCCTTCAGACAGACACCGGACTT